ATTATACAATTTAGTTAAAGTGGTCGCCTCACGTGCTAGATTTGATGGGTTACGCTCTCTTTTCTGCTTTCCAAAATCTTAATAATTTCAATTACATTCCCTTCAAGATAGTAATCCCTTATACAACAGCTACAATCTTATGGTTTCAATTCATGTTAATATATTAAGTAATTTATGGAGTTTCAAGTGGGGTAAAGGTAAAGGGACCCCTGACCATTAGGTCCAGTGGTGACCGACTCTGGGGTTGTGGCGCTCATCTCGCTTTATTGGCCGAGGGAGCCAGCGTACAACTTCCGGGTCACGTGACCAGCATGACTAAGCCGCTTCTGGCGAACCAGAGCAGCGCATGGAAACGCCGTTTACCTTCCCGCTGGAGCGGTACCTATTTATCTACCTGCACTTTGATGTGCTTTTGAACTGCTAGGTTGGCAGGAGCAGGGACCAAGCAACGGGAGCTCACCCTGTCACAGTGATTCGAACTGCCGACCTTCCGATCGGCAAGTCCTAGGCTCTGTGGTTTAACCCACAGCGCCACCCGCGTCCCTTTCAAGTGGGGTACACAGTCTGAAATCATAGTTATTTCCTGCATGTGGTATTTCCTCCCCCCTGCCATGATGTTGTCCCAACCATAAATGGTGTTGTATCCTTCATTCTTCCAAATGTTGATATTTCCCATCATGACTCGGGAGAAGCGGTTGTCTCAGAGTTATCCAAAAGACTCTGCATCACTTCGTCCCATGATTCAAGAGCTTGTTAGAGCTCTCTCTGTTCCAACAAATAAACTGTCCTCGCCATTTTTTTTTCCAACTTAGGAAGAGCAGTCTGATTCCAAACTGTCAATGACTAATAAGAAAACCTCTGACCTTGGAGCTGGCAGACTCCTTTCCTCTTTTCAGCTGAAAATTTACAGTCAGTTATTTTTCCAGTTAGATTACATTCCAAATTGTCTCAGTCTCTTTCACATTCCTTATAAAATAACAGAGAGTGGGGGTGGTTTTGGTCTATATTCCAACATAGTCCTTTTTAAAGAGTGATGTTCCCCTTTCTCTCCATTCCATTCCTCTCACATACACAGTTCCAGTTTGATGTTAAATTTCATGTTATTAGTCCAGTTTCTTCCACCCTCACTTTTTATATTATATTTTGTATTTTTGGAGGGTTGCCAAATCAGAAACATAGAAGAAAAACTCTGAAAAAAACAACTGTAGGCTCCCCTCTCCCCACCGTCTCTGGCACCGAATGAAACCTTATCTCAATTCTAACCTTTAAATCCTTGTAGCTGAGATGTTCCACTTTTTGTCGTCTTATCGCCTCCTGGGCCAGGAGTCGGCTTCACCTGCTGAGCAGCAGCCTAATGGAGAAGAAGGCAAAATGACTCTACTTGCTGCTGATCAGCCTTATTGCTCCTTATGAGAACCAGCTGGCTCCAGCTTTCTTAAGCAGCATTTGCAGCCTCAGTCAGTTACTGGAAACAACATTTGTCATTCCTGACCAGACAATGCTGCTGCTTGCTTCTCGTGAGCTTGGATCCTCAGCTTTCTTGACCCCTGGATTGTCTGACTACATGAACTGAGATACTCCTAACCTTAGGATTGGACCGGACCTTGTATACAGACTCTGCCTCCAGGCAAGCACACCCCTGAGACTTGGCTGGTTGGCTGGCTTCTCCCTCCACTGAGCTCTGCCATGCCTGGCAGAACAGGACTACGACACCATAACCACAAGGAGGTGCAGTGCCTGCTGGGGTTTACAAACTGCTATCGTTCATTCATCCTGCATTTTGCTCAGGTGACAGCGCCTCTGACTGCCCTCCTTTGGAAAAAGTGTGTTTGTCTGGGACAGTTTGGCTCAGGGGGCATTAGACACCATGAAAGCTACATTCTCTTCACAACCCATCCTTCGGCAACCTGACCCAGCAGGGCTATTCGTGGTGGAAACAGATGCCTTGGATGTTGCAGTAGGGGCAGTGTTACCGCAAGCCAACCCACAGTCTTTGGTGGTCTTCACCTGTGGGTACTACTTCCGAAAACTTCAACCGGCGGAGTGGAATTATGGCACAGGACTATGACACTAGCACATGCCTATACAATTAACGCCCACTTAGAAGGATATCCTCTGCTTCCAGGAATGAATCAGGGGGTCATGGCAGTGAGAATGCTTCATGCACCCGGTGCCTTTGCCTGCCCTCACATTCCATACGGAAGCAAGTGCCAGACCGAAGGGCAATCCACAGGTGAGACCCCATTCCTCTCCCATCCAGAGAGGAAGTCAACGAATGAGTTCCCCCATTATTCTTTGTTTATTTCTGTCTGTCTCTCCCTACAATGTCGAGGGAGACATTGGCGCAGGCGGAAACAGGAAGCTATGTCATCAGCTGGTTTGGTCCACTGTGCTTCATTAAGTCCAGGGTCAACGTAGCCGTCTACCAGGAGATTTTGGAGCACTTCATGCTTCCTTCCGCAGACAAGCTTTATGGGGATGCTGATTTCATTTTCCAGTAGGACTTTGTCACCTGCCCACACTGCCAAAAGTACCAAAACCTGGTTCAGTGCCCATGGGATTTCTGTTCTTGATTGGCCAGCAAACTCGCCTGACCTGAACCCCATAGAGAATCTATGGGGCATTGCCAAGAGAAAGAAGAGAGACATGAGACTGAGCAATGCAGAAGAGCTGAAGGCTGCTATTGAAGCTTCCTGGTCTTCCATAACACCTCAGCAGTGCCACAGGCTGATAGCATCTATGCCACGCCGCATTGAGGCAGTAATTGATGCAAAAGGGGCCCAAACCAAGCACTGAGTACATATGCATGCTTCTACTTCTCAGAGGTCCAATATTGCTCTATTTGCAATCCTTGTTTTGCTGATTTCATTTAATATTCTAATTTTCTGAGATTGTTAATTTGGGGTTTTCATCAGCTGTACACCATAATCATCACAATTATAACAAATAAAGGCTTGACATATCTCGCTTTGCATGTCATGAGTCTATCTCCTATATTAGTTTCACCTTTTAAGTTGAATTACTGAAATAAATGAACTTTTCCACAATATTCTAATTTTCTGAGTTTCACCTGTATAAGCTCATTTGTCATCCTTTTCTTCTTCCTCTGCCTCTTAACTGGCAATGCTGTTTCCAAAGAGTCAATTTCCAATGTTTGATTTTCATCCATATTCAACTGTGAAATCTTGTCATTACATTTATTTACAAATTCCAGTGCCTTGCTGTGAAGGTTCTCAAATGTTCTTGTCTGTTCCTTTGCTTTGGAGAGCTTCAGGAGGACTCCTAGTCATGCCTTGGTATGTTAACTCCCCCTTGCAACTGTCTCACCCTGTTGTGGTCTCAGTCCAGGGGGCCTCTGGCAATTCTTCCTGTTCCCGCATTAAGGGAGTCATTCAAAAAGTAAAACAAAGTAACATAAAGTAAAAAAGTATAACAACTCACTTGCTTTGGCTGCTGCATGAGAGAGCAGAAAGCCCCGTATCAGGCTGGTCTCACCCTCTCTCCTCGGCCAAACAGTTGGGCTTTTTCTTTCTCCCCTTGAGTGTGTTAGCAGCTTTAACCCAAGTAAAATGGCCAACTCCATTCATTCCAATCCAACAACGTCACCTGGTGGCCCTGACCAATGTTGCAGCCTTACAAAATAAGGTTTTCAAAGCATGTGCTTGCATGCGACAGTGCCACCTTGGGGTCTGCGATTGCGCAATGGCACTTTCCCCCCTGGCACCCTTGGGTGTGCACCCACCGCACAGAACACCAATGCCATGAATTCCTACAAACTACCCCAGATTATCTTGTGGGGGACTTGCGTGAGGGAAAACTTAATTTGGAGTCTCAGGCAGGATTTGATCAAATAAATGAGAGATTTTATTTAACCAAGGAAGTTTATGACACAAAGTGGGTAAAACATAGGATACTTCAGATTATAATGTTATTTCACTTCAGTTCTTTCTCAGTTGTTGCACAGCTGTTGCTGCTTAATACTTTGGTTCAAGGTGGTATTTTCTGTCAGTTACACACCCCTTTGACTACCCTACTCCTGAGGTACTCCAAGTAACAGACCCAAGGGGTCTCTACACCCCTCTTAATTGGTCTGGGAGTCTTCTCTTTTTGTAGAAGAATCTCTCCCCTCCTGACTGGAATGAGACCTAAGTAGACTGTGTCCTCACAGCTTCCACTTCTCCTGGCTCAGCCTCCCAGTTCATTCCTGGCTTATTACCCTTACAGGACACCACACACGGTCCTTCATGCTACGCTCAGAGACTCCTTTCTGTAGCTTTTGAGTGGATGCTTCTACCCAGAACCACCTCTCTCTCCTCTCACTCCCTCTCTCCCAACCTACTAAACTATTGCTCCAAATCCCCTCTTTTTCAACCCCCTCTCCTGGAACCCCAGCCAATCAGAGGCTGCCATTCGTTAACCGTTTGCTGGCAGGGAAAAAAGAAAAAGAAAGCACTTGTTGACCCAACCTGCCCAGCAAAACAAACTTTCCCATCACATGGTCTTTTGAGAATTTTACTATATTGGAACTTCTACTATATTTTCAAGCTACTAAATGGCATTAACATTTTTAACATACTGTCTAATGTTTAAGGGGGCCTACTTGCCATTGGGCAAGCTGACACACTGGCCAGTGCACCAGCTGGGATAGAGAGAGTGTGCGGATGTCCATTTAAGGCAACATGGTGCCACAAGCTGATCAAATGTTCTGTAGGCACCATGAAGAGAGAGTGATTATTTTCTGACCTTCCACTTATTATTACAGTCACTGGACTAACCTGACATGTGTCCAAGGAATGAATACATATATTTTATCATTTTCACCATCTATTCCTATACTGCAGGACACAATATACCCTGGGATGACAGCAAACAATGTTAGGAATAGGGAAGTGAAAGAAAAGCTTAAAATAAAATGGGCCTACCTGCAAAAAGAATATGTAGCTTTAAAGCAATTCCTCACGCTTTCCCTTTCTGGTAATAATTGTTACACTCAGGCGAGGCTATTCTGGTTGACATTTCTGAAAAAGAAATGGAGGCTTAAGCTGCAAAAACCAAAAACTGAATGTGATTGCTAACTAAAGATTAACTACTAATTGACTAAATCTAAAAGTTGCATTTAATATTTACAGCTTCAGTGGAAGCTGTAAGGGCCAAATACTCCCACCTCTTACCCATACTGGGTCCTAGAGCTTCTGGGCTGAGGCTACTAAGAGATCACCTCTGGTCCTGAGCATGAATATAAGAAAACTTTGCTTTTCGCCCAGGATTAAATGTAAACTATTAATTGACCTTAAAGAAAGAGGGGAATTTTCCCTGCCAGATTTGAAACTCTACTATGAGGTGGCCTGTCTCTCCTGGATCCAGGAATGGTGTATACTACAAAATACTGACCTAGAACCCTTTTAGTTTGACAACTGTTATGGCTGGCATGCCTACTTAGGTTACGACAAGGTCAAGGTACACAAAAGCATGTTATAAGGAAACCTCAATATATGGTTTGGGCAAAATATAAAGATCTGCTTGAACCCAAAACCCCACGGTGGATATCTCCCCTAGAAGCACTGGCAGTGAAGAAGAAAAATATGAAAGGGAATTGGCCAACATACAAAGTATTGTTAAGAGGAAGAAAATCAGCTGAAACTAAAAGGTTTTGAAGAAATTAGGGTATATCTGTAAGATTGGTTACAATATCATCAACTCCATGAGATATTTAAACTTGATAAACGAAATGGTTTTGCGACGGAGCCTTCCAGATTGGAAAAAGAATTGATTAACTCCAAAGGAAAAATTCTTTCTAAAATGCATAGACTCCTTCTTGTCTGGGAAGTCAAGGAGGAGGAGGTAAAATCAGTAATGGTTAAATGCGCTCAAGATTTGGGTTATATGAAGTTTACCGTGTGTTATGTATTGAAAGAAAATTTTATGAAAATGCAATTCCGCTGGTATTTAAGACCATTAGAACTATCTAAAATGTATAAAAATACCTCAAGTAAATGTTGGAGATGTGGGGAAGCGGAAGGTACAATGCTACATATATGTGGAACTATAAGAAAATAAAGAAATTTGGGGAGGTAATTTATAACGAGCTCAAAAAGATGTTTAAGATCTCTTTTATTAAAAAGCCAGAAGCTTTCCTTTTGGGTATACTAGGTTCAGACACCCTAAAACAGCGAGTAAGATATTCTTGTATGCCACAGTAGCTGCAAGAATCGCTACACACTGGAAGGGGGACACAATCCCAACCAAACTGGAGTGGCAAAGCAAATTGTTAGAATACGTTGAGCTGGCAAAAATGACAAGGAAATTGAGAGAACATACTGATTAAAGAATGGGACATGTACAAAAAATATCTTAAGGAACATCGCAATAACAGGACATCAATGGCAGGCCTTGAATGATCTCTGTGGTACAGTAGAAACTCATAGAATAAGTCATCAATGAAAATTAATAAATGAAAACGGAAAGTGCCCTTGAAGAAATAGGTGGTAGATGCATGATGGGGTGACGGGAAGTCATCACAGATGTAAGAAGACTTAAATGTGATTTGATGCAATTTTTTATTATTTCTGGATTTTTGTTTCTTTTAATTTCAATAAAGCATTCAAAAAAACAACAACTTTGCTTTTCTCAAATTTTTTGAGAACACACTTTCCAACTACAGGGGTCTTGCACAGCCCTCACCCATTTGAACTGGGCTTGTACATGAAAACCACCCAGTGGATTTCACACCAGTATGGAAAGAGCCAGAATGAGCAGGTGCCATGCCAATTTGGAAGACATTAGATTCTTGAGGACACTGCTTACAGCCCTCCACAGCAGTCTTAGTGCTGCAATAGCAAGGAACGAAAGGAAGCCAGTTTTAAAACACTGAAAAGACACTATACTAAACCATGTGAAATATAGAAATGTGGAAATTAACAAGGTATATTTCAGGAAAGCTAACATGCACACAAAACTGACTAATTCTTGCCTTCCACAGCAGTCTTTGTTACATATGGTATATGAAGCAAGAATTTTTTAGAAAACTGAAATGACATCTGCCTAAACCACCACAGCATAGCCTGCAACCGTCCTGTTTTTACTGGGACATTCCAAAAAATTTTAATAAAAAAAATTCCTGGCTTCTGATTGGATCCTGGAAAGTCCCAGAAATTACCTCTGGTTATCCAGGCACTGAAGCTGGCGTGCCACTCCACTTCCCACTTTCCCTCTCTATGGTTACTGTGGAGGTCCGTCGGTGTGCTGTGACAGTGGCAGGCAGGCGGGCGAGGTGGATGGGGATAGTGGCTGTGAGGGGCATGGTTGAAGAACCTCCATGATCAGGAAGGCTCAGGAAAAGGCCTGTGGATGTGGGCAGGGGGGCAGATATTGAGACTACATCTGGAATGTGGAGGGTGGGAAGGGTGACTGTCTTCCAGGGGTAAGGGTAGCTGGAGGGAGGGAGGGAGGTGGGTGGGTGACTGGGAACATTCACCAGAGAGGGGTGGGGGAAACGAGGAATGTAGGAATGTAGGGAATAGACAGGGCTGCAGTTGAGTGGGGTCCTTGGCAGCTGAGAAAGGGGAGGGGGCAGGGTGGCACTGGTGAAGAGCACTCAGGGTGGGGGGCAAGCAGGACTGCAAAGGTGGGTGCAGAGGAGAACAGAGAAAATGGGCTGGGTGTTGGTGGTCTGGATTGAGCAAGATGTGTGTATGTGTTGTGGGGGAGGCAGGACACAAATCTGTCTCTTCAGGGGAAAAATTTGATGGGGGAGGAGCTTGGGCTTGAGTCCCAATTTTTATCCCCGGGGTAAAGATTTGCCATAGAGAATATGGAAATGTGGAAGTTCAGATACTTCATTCACTAAATGCTATACTCTCCAGCTACACACACAAGCCTATAATCGTGATACTTACAGCCAGACCAGTCTAAAAGTTACATTAACACTGAGAACTGCATTAACAAATGCATTGAACATATACTTCCTGTGAAATACCGCTCACAATGGTGTCAGTGGAATTTGGTTATGGTACAAAGTTCAGTTCTCTCACAAAGGACATTTTCCACAATAGACACATTTAAGTAAAATAAGATGTTTAATGCCCAACTATTAGAATGGTTTACTTGAAGCACTGCACTTATCCTGTCAGCAGGTTCTTAAGAAACACCTATTTTAAGTCTGCTTATAGCTAGGTTAACAACTCTCTCACTTGAAATCTGGGATAAAAGATTGTAACTAGAAGCAATTTAATTCATTCAGTGTACTTAAAAAAATATTAATTTAGCACTTGAAACCTGCTCTTTAACTGAGTTGTTTCACCAGAAGGGAAGTTGTAAATGGAAATACACCAGGGATTCAATTTGTGTTATTCTATCATGCCAGTGTTTTTGTTTTTATTTTAGGGCTATTACTGTTTCAAGCTGCTATCCAGTTGCTTCCTTCCGTGAACAGTATGTATGTATGTATGTATGTATGTATGTATGTATTTATTTATTTATTCATTCATAACCCTGCTTTTCACTCAAACTCATAGGCCACTTTTCAAGCCAATTAAAATCCATTGGCATTCCAAGGAGAGAGTTCCAGCTCCAGGGCAGGAGAGAGGGCCAGGGGAGGCAGGTCTGTATTTCAGTGAGCTCAGAAGCACACTAGCCAAAAGAGCCAGCCTTGCTCCCAGTCTTGAACCTGGGGGGCTGCTGCACAATTGGTGGCAAGACCCCTGCCCATCTCTGCAGTTCCAAAGCTAAGGAGGTTTTCCTGTTGCTTCTTAAGGTAGGGCCCAAACCAAGGAAGGGGATTTCAACTGAACATTATTATGCCAATAAAGGCTGAATGAGTGAATGAACTAAACACTGGACAGAACTGTAGCATACTCTGCGTGGAGCTGCCTTTGAAAATTGCCCAGAAGCTTCAACCAGCCTCAAGAGCTGCAGCCAGATTGCTGACTGAGGTGGTTATAAGGAGCAGACAATTCCCTTGTTGCAACAGCTCTACTGACTATGGGTCTGTTTCAGGGCACAAGTCAAAGTGCTGGTTATCACCTACAAAGCCTTACATGGCTTAGGTCCAAGCTATCAGAAATACTGAGGTCTTCAGGAGAAACCCTTCTCTCGGTCTCACCACCCTCACAGGCACGCTTGGTGGAGATGCAGAAGAGGGTCTTCTTGGTAGTTGCTCCCAGGCTTTGGAACTCCCTCCTTAAATAAGGCAGACTGCCTCCTTCCTTCCACCGACAAGTAAAGGTCACATTCCATTCCTTCCACTGTTCACCGATTAGCGTATGCGCTGCGGCCATAAATAAGTCACAGAGTGCATATTCAGTCTCTGCCATTAAAATTCCTCTCTGGAGTTCTTCCTCAGCACAGTTAAAAACAGGATCTTTTCTCACATTCAGCCTCTCCGCCATACGTGCTCGGCAGCAATTCATTCTTTTTTCACTGCACCAACAGCACTCCTAGCCCAGTCCAGGAATAATTTTAAATAAAGTCCATTCAGCCTTGGTTGAGGGGGGAGGGCATAGTAAAATCTTGTTAGATTCCTTGTTAAGCATAAATCAAAAGCCTCTCCCCTCTTTTCCGAGGTAACAAACAGAATAACACAAGAGCGGCTACATAAGTCTCTTTCATTTTGCAGGGGAGGACAAGGAGACCATTTGAAAACTATATAAAAGCACAAAGCACCTTGTCCTCCCCCTCCTTTCTCAGCTGTTGTAAGGTTTCTCAAGTTTCAAAGAAAACATTCAGATACCTTCAAAGAGACGGAAATTTTGGAGGAAACAAGAACAAATCATGGCGGAGACGGCAGGGACACACTCCCAGGTCGCACCCGCTCGGCCTTTCAAGTTGGCAGACACCGGCTTGAGCAGCATAGCAGGATGCAGTGAGCTCCCCAGACCCCACTGGGGAACACTGCCAGGATTTTTGCCTCATAAATCCTGGCTTTCCCCTGCAGAGGGCAGTGAGGAGTGATCACTATTGACTCGTGACGAAGCTGGAAACCCAAGTAAAGACTTTCTTGCTCCAACAGGCTTTGGGAACCGACTGCTTTTAATGAATGGGCTGTTTTTATTGCAATTATTTGTATGGTAGTAATATATTTTTTATGTATATGTATAGTTTTAATTATATCAATGCTTAATTGTTCTTTAATGCTTGTTTTTCTTCTATGTTTTTAGCTGTTCTTATTTTTATCTGTAAGCTGGCTTGAGTCCCTCTGTCAGGGGAAAACCAGGGGAATAAACAAACAAACAAACAAACAAATAATATCAACAACAACTTCCTTAAGGCAGGAGCTGTTTGACAGTGGAGCAGGCAGCCTTAGAAGGTGGTGGACATGTCTTCATTAGAAGTCTTTCACACATTATATGTTCATCTCCCAGACCCTCTTATGGATGTGGTAGAACTGGATTTTACTATTAGAAGTTTGTGGTTTTACATACCTGAAAGTACAGGAAAAAAACCTTTTTTCTCAAATCTTAAGTTATTAACATAAAACATTTATAAGTATACAACACACCCTTTTGAAGTAACTCCCTACGTGTACATGACAGAGCGTAACCAAATCTGTGACAAAACTGTTAAGAATGCTGCCTAGCCAGGCCAAACCAAACCAAACCAAACCAGAAGCTATTACTAGAGTATTTGATTAAATGCAGGGCTTAATCTCAAAGAAATCATCAGCAGCCAAATAGGAACAGCTGAGCAAGTAAAGCTTTTTATTGGAGTGCAGTGACAGGATTAAGGAAATTACCCAAACTAGGTCAAAGAAGTAGAGAGGCAGTCAAACTTCAGCTGTTCTTGCTTGTTTGTTACACAGTACAAGCAGGGCTTTTTTTTCAGCCAGAACTGACTGGAACTGAGTTCCAGCACCTCTTTGCTGCGTTCCGCCAGCTCTGTAGTGCTGGGGTGCTGTCCCCCTGCACAGCGCTCGGGCTGCCCAACAGAGGTGTCGGGAGGTACGGCACTTGGGGCTGTGGAGTTTATTTTTCTCCTGCAACGGTAGGGGGAGCGTAGAAGTCCTCCCCCTAAAAAAAGGTCAACAAGTTCTGGCACTTCTTTCTCTAGGAAAGTAAAATCTGGGGTTATTAATCATGCAAGAAAGTATGTGCTATGTTAGTTAATTTACGCAAATGAAGCATGCACATCAACACAAATGGATACATTAAATGAAGCAAGTGAGTTCAGAGCCCAAACGCTACACCCAATCTTCTTTCCCTCTTTGCCAAAACGCTTCCCCTTAAACGAAGCATCTGTGTCCCTGAGACACACAGTAACAAAATGTGAATTGCGAAGATAAGACGGGTCAGCCAGCACAAGGAGCCTTCTCTTTCCCTAAAGCCGCCTGCACTGCAAGGCGGGAGGCCAAGCTCATCCCATTCATCAGTTCTTGTTTCCAGCCTTGCACTGACATGTCAGGGTAGTTACATATATTCATTCTGCCTGCTCTGCCATCACAATCAGATTTGTAAGCTAACTGCTCAACTGTCAGGTTTGCTGTGAGTCACATTTTATTTTAATAAAAACCTCTTGAGAGGGAGACAGATTCTCGATTAAGTACTTACTGGAGAGTCTGAGCTTAGCTAAGTGAATTCCATTTAGTCTTAGGGCTTGAAGATAAGTGAACCAATATGAATTATTGGCAATCCAGATATGTCATGGGCAATAAATTTAATTGTTACATGTTACATCCAACTTTTCACAATCAATACAATTTACTAAATAGGTATAAGGCCATGACTTGAGAATGGTCTCCTCAGCAGACAATTGCATAATCCAGACATAGGTAGGCATTTGTATTTATAGACAATAAGGGGGGTTGCAATGATCTTTTGGAAAACTAAAGGAAAAATACCGTATTTTTTGCTCTATAAGACTAACTTTTTCCCTCCTAAAAAGTAAGGGGGAATGTGTGTGCGTCTTGTGGAGCGAATGCAGGCTGCGCAGCTATCCCAGAAGCCAGAACAGCAAGAGGGATTGCTGCTTTCACTGCGTAGCGATCCCTCTTGCTGTTCTGGCTTCTGAGATTCAGAATATTTTTTGTTTTCCTCCTCCAAAAACTAGGTGCGTCTTGTGATCTGGTGCGTCTTATAGAGCGAAAAATACGGTAAATCATATGAATTATTTTCAAATTATTTATGGACTGACTCCAGGTTATTTACTTAGAAGTAAATTTCAGAGTGTTCAAAATGTTATGGGCCTTCATCATACTTGGGGATGGGGGCACCCCAAGTATATGATGTACAATATTATTGGTAAATTATTGCTTTTTCATACCACCCCCAAGACTAAGAGCTTCCAGGTGCTCCAGAATGTTGAGGACATAGAGATAGAATAATTTAGAGTAAACTGAAACCACAGAGCAACACTCCTGCTTCCTTGTTGCAGACCCCACTTTGTAATACAACTATATTCCATCAGAATTTCAATGTGTATTGGCGTCCACTAGCTTGTCAGCAATCTTAAGCATGCTAAATCTGGAGTAAGTAAAATAGAAATTTGCAGGATGTGTGCAGACCAGGATTAATAACAGTTTCCTTATCAGTTAGGGCAAAACCAGAGGTGACTGGGCCAGGCCTCTTAGTTTGTTCATGTGACTGCCTCCTTCACACATCAAGTGGAAGCGAGGTCTAATTTTGACATGAAAAGGGGGCATTCAAGGGAATTCAATTCTTACCCCACATCTCACCTCTGGAGAGCCCTGAAAAATTCTCCTAAACCAGGCTTGAAAAAGAACTTTTGAGGTCTATTAGGCCACACTTCTAGGGAGAGGCTAACTTTATAAGTCCCCAAATGCCTATCCAGAATTGCCAGCTTCTTGGTCTCTTATCTTCTCCCATTAATTCCCAAAGTACTGGAGATATATGACTTTTTACCTTTAACAGGTACAACAGATGTGGAAGGCACAAACTTCGAGGAGTGCAGGGAATCCAAAGATGGTGGGCTCCTCTTTCCCAGATGAATATTTTGTCCATACAGCATACTATGACTTTACAGGGGTACCTCAGGTTAAGAACTTAATTCATTCCGGAGGTCCATTCTTAACCTGAAACTGTTCCTAACCTGAAGCACCATTTTAGCTAATGGGGCCTCCCGCTGCCGCCGTGTGATTTGTGATCTCATCCTGAAGCAAAGTTCTTAACCCGAGGTACTATTTCTGGGTTAGCAGAGTCTGTAACCTGAAGCGTCTGTAACCTGAGGTACCACTGTAATTCTCTTTGAAATCATTTTTCCACAGTTTCTCCCAGAGTTTTAAGTCTATATTGTGTCGTATATCTATTGCCCAATGTGTCCCTGAAGCTTTGACTAGCTCGCCTTTTGTTTCCCATTCTAATAAAGAATTATACATTTTAGACAATAACTTGTCCTTATTTGGTAATAATTGTTTTTCAAATTGTGGTTTTTCAAATAGGTTTCAGTCTGAGTGACCTCCATGTAAAATCCAGCAGTTCCCTATATGTCGCCCATTGTCTATCCATATTAACTCTCTTAATTGTCATTGCTTCAATGGGGGGGGGGGGAACCATATTGGTGTTTTCCTTTCCAACAAATTTTTGTATTTCTCCCAAACTCTATATAAATTCTTCCTAATAATGTGGTTTGTAAAACTCTTATAAATTTTAGCTTTCCCACACCAAAGACATGCATGCCAGCCAAATTCTATATCATCGCCTTCCAAATCTAGAATGTTGGTTGACACCTTGGCTTTGGGGAACTGACTGTTTTTAATAACAGGGCTGATGCCATGCTTTTTCTGTTGTGATTGTCTGTGTGGTTTAAACAGGTATCATATGGATAGATACATATGCTAATATAAATAGATAGCTTTAATTCTATTAATGTTTAATTGTTTTAAAATTATTGTCTCTTAAATGTTTTTTATCTATTCTTATTTTATCTGTAATCAGCATTGAGTCCCTGTAAGGGACAAAAGGTGCAATATAAATAAATAAACAAAAGCCATGTTGGTACTATGATTTAATTGACTTTAAAATGTGAAACTGCACAAGCTTAGAGTATTATTATTTTAAATCAAGGTTAGCAATCTGTTTCTTGCTTGTTTTTTCACTCTAGTGTAGCAGGTACATAGAAGCAGTTTTAAAACATGGAATGGTGGGGTGTGGAGAGGAGAAAAAGATTAATTGTGTGCTTTACAAGTGAAGTAATGCATATGACTATCTAATCAAGCTGTTCCCCATAAGACCATGAAGTCCAGGGTCTAAAATTACCTTGCTGAACCACTGGTTTCAATGGCTCTTTCTTCCAAGGTTAAGCATTTGTTCCTGTTTTTCAATTTGATGCCATTTTGTGTCATTCACCTCAACCAAGATGTAGATTTAAAAAGTGTACACACAATAAAATGAGGGGGAAATGCAGAATTCCCACTACTGGCATAGTTTGACTTATTAAGCCGCTCAATGAAGTTCGCTGCCCTGTCCCAATTTGCATTCCATTCAATTTCACCGACATTGGGGACTGGAAAAGGTAGAAGCCTTAATAGGATCACGACCCTTTCAGAAAGGTTCCTGGTATAGATTGCTGCTCCATTTTTTCCTGTTCTTTTATGATTAGATGCAATATAATAGCACTGAAGCCCTCCTGCAAAAGGCAGGCTGTTTGAGAACAAAAGTAAATTTTCTGAGCTTGCTTTGCCCTTATTTATATAAATGAGCCTTTTGCTTTAAAGGAACATCATACATTTGAGAATGAGCTTATCACTCACTATCAAACATGTGGCATTTTTTGTTAACACAGCCATTAAACTCAAAAATGCATGTGAATATGAAAAAGGAAGGCTTCTCAATTTCAACCCACTTCCATTTTCTAAATACAGTACTTACAAAAATAATAAAACGCATTCTGCCTTTTAGGCCAGGATCTGATTCTCGCCCCCTAGGGGAAAATATGTTTTATTACTTTTCGAGTTTATATCACAGATACAGCAATACAACTCAAAACACGTCACCCACAATGCTATGAAAGATCAGAACTTATTTCTGAAGGATAGTCTTAAAAAGTCTCTCCACATGTTGCCATGGGACTGTAGCAGATTCTGAGTACTAACTTCTTGCTACACGTGCTCAGTAAACAATTGCCAAATGTTATAGAAAAGATAAGCACTTGTTTTTCCTTTAGATGCATGCATTTGGCAAGTCAGTTTTTCAGCCAAGGCTACTGTTCAAACCCATCCTCCAAATCTTACATATATAGTAAGTATGTAATAGTGTTGTCACATTGCAGTTTGCATGGCCACAGGCAGGTGGCGCTTCAAGCTTCCGTGTGATGAAGGTTGGTGGAAAGATGGCCCAGATGAGCTGCAGAGGGGCAGGCAGAACAGGCTGCAGCAGCCCCCAGCAGCAGACTGCTTTACTGGCTCCGCCTTCCTTCCACCAGCCCTGGGGCCCCTGCTCCCAGGAGCCAGAGCTGACCAGAACCACTACTGTCCACCTTCTTCCTCCCAAACTAATTTGGGAATCTGCGGCTTCTGCCACCATGGCCAATTAGAAGCATGTTTGGGAGTGTGGGGAGGTGGCCAGAAGTGGCACCCTCCTTGCCTGGTAATCCATATTTTGTAGTTTTATATTTTGATTTTATTTTGTGAACTGCCCTGAGACCTCTGGGTATAGGGCCATATATAAATTCGGTCAATCATTCAGTCAATACTATTCTCTCCTGGGCTGTCGCTATACATGAATCAGAAGTTTAGTTTTCAATATTAAGTGAACTACTTTCCCAGTGTTTCCAAGAGTGATGTGTATTCACTAAGAAAGCATGTTTTAACCACAGTATTTGTGCTCAAGACACCCCCTGCAATGAAAGTGAACATGCCAAAAATTATTTGCATAAAACCAAGCCATATTAACTAACACATTGTAGCTTGAAAAACTTTGGTCCTTCTAGAATCTTGAAACAGTTCCATAACATGAGTTAAACTGCATTGTGATCAGCACAATACTAATATTCACCAGAACAGATTTGACAGTAATTGATCCTGTACTGCCCCTTGCTGGAGCTTCGTGTAATTATTATGATGTGCTTTCTAGTGGAAAATTCTAATTAGCACAGGGACTGTTTCCCCTCACCTGAGCAAATGGGCATAACATTAGTTTTAAAGGGCAGAGCTCCATGAGCACATGATAATCAAAAATACAGAATGTTTTCCCCTAAAACATATAAGCCTGCACATCTGGGGGGGAGGAGAGATATTTTAACAACTTCAGCTGGTTTCTAAGGATAATGTCTGCCTTAAAAACTTGCTTGTAGAAATCAAAAGTACAGAGTGAATTCCATAACTGCAGGACCACCCCTGAGAAGGTCATTGTCTGTGTGCCTGCTAGCCAAATTGTTTTTGCAGGCAGGCACCGAAGCAGGTTCCCTGAAGCAGATACTTAGGTGTGGACAGGTTGGTACAGGTGCGGCAACTACTTGAGGCTTTGAAGTTCATCAGCAGCACTTTAAATGGGCCCCTGAAACACTCTGGTACAATATTGGTGTAACATGCTAAACCTATTTGGTGCTAGCAGAAGCTGCACAGCTACATTTTGTACCAGATGCAGTTCTATAATGTAAGGTAGAATGCATTATAGTCTAGACTGGAAGTCACTAACTAGTGCATGGATAATGGAAGCAAAATCCATTCTCCCAGAATGGATCACAGAGGATAAAAAGCAGCTTTGTTCACCACCACCACCTGAGCATCCCTAGTTAGTAGTGAGGGCCACAGCACTCCTAACTCATGATTCTTCAAGATTCTGATTCTTCAAGAGGAGCACAACCCCATCTAGGACCAGTTGCAAACCTCCATCCAGAAAAGTAAATTTCCCAAGCAAAAGCCCCTTTAATCTTATTTGGATTATGCTTCAGTTTGCTTCCCCTCACAGAACCCACAACTGCCTCAGTTTTTTAAAAAACATTTCATTTATTAAATTCATATACTGCCCTTCAGCCGAGAATCAAAGGGCAGTTTATACTATAAAAACACAAAAGTACGGTACATAACATAATAGCAAACAAAGCAATAACCCTCCACACACTTGTAACGTTTTTGCCTGGTGCCTAATATATGTAGTGATGCAGCCAGGCGAGCCTCTCTAGGAAGAGCATTCTACAAATGGGGAGCCACTGTAGAAAAGGCCTGTTCTCCTGTTGCCACCCTCTGCTCCTCTCATGGGGGAAGCACACGAAGCAGGGCCTCCAAGGTACCAGTTCAAGTAGATGGAAAGGAGAGGTAGGGTCTAGTATTTTCCTTGTACTGATGATACTTCAACCCAAATCTCTGGGTGACTTTCCCCCCACATGTGGGGCAGACTAAGAACTCTAAGGCTCCCTATAGAACATTGGCCAAGGAATAGAATTAAAAATATGTGGGAGAAGGAACTGAATGGCTGGGAAAGGAGGGTAGAGGAAGGGACACATAGATAAAGAAAAGGTAGTGAGAAACTATCACATTGTCTGGGCAAAACATTTCCTAGTTTTCACTGAGAAGCTATTTTTAAAAGTCTTGAGGGACATACGTAGTGCAGCAATTAAAAAAAACAACAACCCACTAGAACATTTGCAAAGCTAACCAGGGTCTGGTATGGTTTCAAATTGGATAGGGAAACCATGTGCTGAGATTTCTGCATTGCAGAGAGTTGGACCAGATGGCCATCAGGGTCTCTTCCAACACTACAATTCTATGATTCCATAAGTGAGAGCTATGCATAGAAATCAAAAGATAAATCCAAGATTTTACTACAGATGAGATTGGGCATCAGTGGCTCCGCTCCCCAACAGCACAATGAGTTCTGGCCACACTCAGTGGGCACAGAATTGCTGGCTGACTAGCTGGGGTGGAGGAGTGGAGGAAGAACGGAATGGAGGGACTGGCACCCCAAAGAGAACCAGGACATGCGGCAAAGTTAGTTGCAGTACGCCACTCATGACCACCACCATCATGATCCAGACTATTATTCCCCAAAAGCTTGCTGCTTGAGACTGCAAGCACATCATCATCATCCAGCAAGCATACTGGCATACCATTTATAAAGAGCCTTTCTAATCCCTATTAATTTTGTATTACAATGGGGGATGCACAGACGCTACCACCTAAGGCCGCCCAGCAAATTCATGGCTCAGCTGTGATTTGAGCTGGGATTGCCTGGCTTTTCTTATCTCTATGTTAGTTGGTCCCTCAACAGGAGATAACACACAAAAACATTCAGACCCTTGAGGCTTAGTCCAACTAACAGTTAGTGCAGATAAAACTACTTCCAGGATAAAAATGTTCAGATGGTCTTTCAGGGGGCAGAAGGTTCCATCACTGGGGACAGGCAGCAGGAAAGGCCCCCTCCCAAGAGAACAGGGGTCCTCTTTACCTTTACATCAATATAGCTGGAGGATTTTAAACTCCAGCTCCAGAAACATTAATGCATTAATATTCTACTGTTAAAGAAGCATTTGAACCCATCTTTAATATACCAGGAATCTTAAGTCTAACAAACACAGTTTTTTCATAGAAAAATCAGGTCAGTGAATGGAATCTTTCTCCTTCTGCTGTACTATTTTCTATGAATCTTCATTAGTACACTAAGAAAATGGTGTTGGCTTTCAGTGTGTTTCAGGAATAGATTTGTTCACATTCAGAGCCATTGTGATGCCCTGACTAAAGGAATTTGTCTATATGAGGGATCACAATTGTAACGCAGTACATTTAAAAGGCCATCTACGCTTACCTTTTCCTGCATTATTTTAAAAAGAGCAACTAACACCAGAGGAGATTTCCCAACTCAAGAAAATAGTATTTTGGTATAGCACTGGAAGGGGAAGGATATAGACATCTTTTCATGAGAAACTAAGCCTGCATTTTTTGGATTTCAAGAATTACGATTTCTGAGCATTCTGAACCCACAGCAGTTCAAGGATGAGTCTCTATGCAGAAAGTGAGTCTGAGTGCAACGTCCACAGGCCCCCCTGCCATGCTGCTCCACCACCACAAGCGCTGGACATGGGACTTGGCTTCAGGCGGGTCAGGACTGAAACTCAAATCTCTCTATGGAATGGTCCCTTCAGTTGTATTTTATCAACATAATTCATTGTTGTCATGAACTTTCTGCGTAACCTAACTCAAAAATTCCTTTTGAGGATAAACAGCCTAATTTCCTTGGGCTGCAAATGAGAAAGGGTGAGGGAACATGCAAGAAAAGGGTGCTTTTCTTGCTGTTGCCACCCAGGGGAACAATATCCTGAACTTCACGATCTTTTTTTAAAAAAAAGTTGTTGAAACAGCACTAGGCTCCAGACCCTTATCGGGTCTTTGCTACACAGAGGAAGTAATGGATTTCTGAGAAAGAATACCAGTTCTCTCCACAAAGAGCTAAGACCCTCAGCTTAAAACAGCACAGCTGTAGCATTGCTGAACAGCTCATTAAGTGATCCTAGTGGTTATAAACTACAGTGGTACCTCGGGTTAAGAACTTAATTCGTTCTGGAGGTCTGTTCTTAACCTGAAGCTGTTCTTAACCTGAAGCACCACTTTAGCTAATGGGGCCTCCAGCTGCCGCCGCCACACAATTTCTGTTGTCATCCTGAAGCAAAGTTCTTAACCCGAGGTAATATTTCTGGGTTAGTGGAGTCTGTAACCTGAAGCGTATGTTATCTGAAGCATATGTAACCCAAGGTACCACTGTAATGTATGACTGCAGACAGGACTAAATATATGTACATGCATTTATTTCAGAAGACAACATTATGTGTTTTCTCACTTTAAAAAAAATTTCCAATAAAGTTTGTTTTTTTAAAAAATAAAATAAGCCAATGGATTTACAATTTGAATCTAACCATCTAGATAGCTTTGCAGCATCTTCTTGGCAGCTGTTTTGCCATAATGTGCATCTTTTACAGCAATTTATTGACAACTGAGCAGATACGTATGATACACATTGGCAGCTACTGTCACACCTTTTTGAAGGCCAGGTGCAGCAAATTCAGGTTCACACAACCCCTAAACACATACATATGGAAAACGGCCTAGGCTTTGGAACTCCCTCCCTAGAGAAGTTAGAACAGGCTTTGAGGAACTGACTGCTTTTAGTTAAAGGGCTTGTGCCATTCTGTTTTTATTGTAATCATTCATTTGGTTTAAGTGTGTGTGTGGTTTTAATTCTATCAATGTTCAGTTGTTACGTAATTATAGTTTCTGTATGTTTTTAGTGGTTCTTATGTTTATCTGTAAGCCACCTAGCTTCCCATCAGGAAAAAAGGCATAGTATAAAATGATGATGATGATGATAAAGAAAGCATCAGGTCAGGAGGCAGTGGAGGCTGACATGTGTCATAGCCCTGCCTCGTGTTGCTGTTGCGCACAGTGGAAATGCTTCATCAGATCTGTGCATTTGTATGGATTATTTATTCTTAGATTTGTAAAGTTTTATTTAAAACTGAATGGTGTGTGGCGCTCATCTCCGCTTTCAGGCTGAGGGAGCCAGCGTTTGTCTGCAGGCAGGTTTTCCGGGTCATGTGGCCAGCATGACTAAACCACTTCTGGCAAAACGGGACACCATGACTGAAGCCAGGGCACATGGAAATGCCGTTTACCTTCCCATCGCAGCGGTACCTATTTATCTACTGGCGCTGGTATGCTTTTAAATTGCTAGGTTGGCAGAAGCTGAGACAAAGCAACAGGAGCTCACCCCATCACACAGATTTGAACTGCTGACCTGCAATTGGCAAGCCCAAGAGGCTCAGTGGTTTAGACCGCAACACCACCTATGTCCCTAACTGGAAGGAACCAGAAGCGAAGTATGTGCTGCATCATGTGATGCTCCAGGACAGTGTATAGCAGTCAGTCCAGTTACAAAACGGCCCCCATGCTGAATGAGAGTTGCCAGTGAAACACTGCATTTTGCTCAGCACAACTAGACTTTACCTTTGCAGCTTCAGCAACCTTTGCCACAAGTCTTCTCTCACTGAAAAAATGAGTAATCCAGGTCACCCAATTTATGGTGATAACAGTACAGCAAGATAGAAATGTTCTCCTTCAGTCTACAGCAGGGTTAGGCAACCTAAGGCCCGGGGGCTGGATCTGGCCCAATCGCCTTCTAAATCCGGCCCGAGGAAGATCTGGGAATCAGCGTGTTTTTACATGAGTAGAATTGTGTGCTTTTATTTAAAATGCATCTCTGGGTTATTTGTGAGGCATAGGAATTTGTTCATTTTACTTTTTTCCAAAATATAGTCTGGCCCACCACATGGTCTGAGGGACGGTGGACTGGCCCACGGCTGAAAAAGTTTGCTGACCCCTGGTCTATAGTGTTCTGAGTGCTGCAGCCACTCCTGCTAATTTACCCCTCAGTTTCCCGTTAGATTTGTCATGTGGTGCAGCATCACCACAATATTGCAGCTAGTGCATTTGTAACAAAATTCTCAGTGAAAAGCTGACAGTAAAAGAAGGCATATTTTAAAAAGTATTATTTGTTGTATTTTTAATTTGGTCTTCAATCTCACTGGCAGTAATAAAAACAGAATTAAAATATAAATTTAACAAAATGTAATAAACTTAAACGATATAATCCCTAAACCAAGCACAGCAACAGATGTGAACTTTCACCATTCTTCACTACTGTCATACAAAAGTTGCTGAGAAGTTCAGAAAAAAGCAAAAGAGGAGTACTGTTTTTCTGTAGAGCAATGGAAAAATGTGCTTAATTCAGCAGGGTTCTGTAGCTAAATCTCAGTATATCCTATTTTCCCACCTCTATGTAGTTTTTATATGTATTATGAGTCATGGTTTATAGGATCTATGAAGGTCAATCAGTTCATTAAGAACTTTTGAAATGCAACTTTCAGAATTTGGAAAATATTATAGGAAGACTTTATTACACCATTTTGAATTAATTTATGAGATTTGTAGTAATATGATGGTAGATCTTGTTTTTGATTCCACCTGCAGTCTGTCACCAAAGAAGGAATCCATTTTATGTTTTCTACAGGAACAAAAATATTTGGGTGATCTTAAAAATACATACAGTGGTGCCTCGCAAGACGAAATTAATCCGTTCCGCGAGAGTCTTCGTCTAGCGGTTTTTTCGTCTTGCGAAGCAACCCTATTAGCGGCTTAACGGATTAGCGCTATTAGCGGTTTAGCGGCTATTAAAGGCTTAAAGGCTTAGGGGATTAGCTGCTAAAAGGCTATTAAAGGCTATTAAAGGCTTAGCAGATTAGATAAAGGGGGGGGAAAGCGAAAAAAAAAATCTCAAGACTCGCAAGACATTTTCGTCTTGCGAAGCAAGCCCATAGGGGAATTCGTCCTGCGAAGCAACTCCAAAACGGAAAACCCTTTCGTCTAGCGGTTTTTCCGTCTTGCGAGGCATTCGTCTTGCGGGGCACCACTGTATGCAAAATCACAAGAGCTGGCAATCCTGATTTCTTAATAATCACTCTAACATAGCATTAAGCTGCCCAGACGTCTCTCAGTTGCACGTTTTGAAGGTGTGAGCTACCTGTTCCCAAGGCTGCTCCTGTGACAGCAGAACTACTTTTATTTCACAATGTGCTTTATATGTGTTTTGACCTCAAGCATTTTGTCATCTTTACCAGAAGGAACTATTATGAAGAGTGCTTTTCGTTATGCCCTATAAATCCTTGGTTGCCCACTGCAGGAGCCTGATGGAAGCGATCAATCTGCCAAGGAATTACTACAGCAGCAAGCCTGCAAATGCTTTATGGTTTACTTACTCTAATTGTTCATTTCATGCCAAAAGCGTGAGGGTGATGCTGATCATACCTATTAAGCTTATTGCATTTGGGGGGTAGTTTTTTCTAAGAAACTGATTCCATTCAGGACTATGCATATTCAGAAATCTGAACCACAGGATTTTCAGACATGCTTTATTGGCAAATGGGTTTGCCCCTGAAAAGCACAAATCTCACCCCAAGTGCTGTATTGAGTTTGCACACCCAGGTTTGCCCACAGCTGTTTGCCACTGCCTCTGATATGAGCCTCTCCCCTCCTTGTCTCCTCTCCTTCCTCCTCTTCTCCATTCCTCTCACTTAACAACCTTCCCTGCACTCTGTGTCTGTTTCTTGTAGCCCCCAAGGTTCTCATTTCCTCTACTTGGGCCTGTCTCTGACACACCAGCACCCTTTCTTTTCTCCTGCTGCTGGGAGACGTCTGAGAGAAGCAGCACAGAGACTGGTGCGCCACACTGTGGTATCCCAGCATACACAGGGAGGAGAGTATCAATTGAAAGAATCGAAGGAACTATCAGGAAAATTAACAACATGGATACAATATCATCATTTGAATGAAGTATTTAAGAAAGATAGGATACGAGGGTTTGGGGAACAAATATCACAACCGGAGAGAGATTTGTTGGTATGCAAAAGTGCTCGGTCCCTGCTCCTGCCAACCTAGCAGTTCGAAAGCACGTCAAAGAGCAAGTAGATAAATAGGTACCGCTCTGGTGGGAAGGTAAACGGCGTTTCCGTGCGTTGCTCTGGTTCGCCAGAAGCGGCTTAGTCATGCTGGCCACATGACCCGGAAGCTGTACGCCGGCTCCCTCGGCCAGTAAAGCGAGATAAGCGGCGCAACCCCAGAGTCGGCCATGACTGGACCTAATGGTCAGGGGTTCATTTACCTTTAAAAGTGCTGTCTAAAATGTGTAAGATATTATTGGAATGGGAGACAAAGGATAAGCAAGTAAAATCCTCAATGATACATTGGACAATAGATATTGGTTATAATAGAGATATGGAAGCATGGGAACGATAGTGGAATATGGATATAAAATTTACAGCGTGCTATGGTTTAAGAGAAAATTATATGAAAATGTTTTATCGATGGTACCTAACACAGAGTAAATTGGCAAAAATGTATAAATCAAAATCAAGTAAATGTTGGAAATGTAAAGAGAAAGAAAGTTCTTTTTATCATATGTGGTAGTCTCATAGTATAAGGTTAAAGCTTAAAGGTAAAGGTACCCCTGCCCGTACGGGCCAGTCTTGACAGACTCTAGGGTTGTGCGCTCATCTCACTCTAGAGGCCGGGAGCCAGCGCTGTCCGCAGACACTTCCGGGTCACGTGGCCAGCGTGACAAAGCTGCTCTGGCGAGCCGGCACCAGCGCAGCACACGGAAACGCCGTTTACCTTCCCGCTATAAAGCGGTACCTATTTATCTACTTGCACTTAAGGGTGCTTTCGAACTGCTAGGTGGAGGTGGGCAGGAGCTGGGACCGAACAACGGGGGCTCACCCCGCCGCGGGGATTCGAACCGCCGACCATGCAATCGGCAAGTCCTAGGTGCTGAGGTTTTACCCACAGCGCCACCCACGTCCCTAAGGTTAAAGCTTACCGGGAAATTATATATAATGAATCGAAAAAGCTGTTTAAAATAATGTTTGTAAAAAAAACCCAGAAGCCTTCCTGTTGGGAATTATAGGGACAGAACTACCCAAACTGTATAGAAATTTATTCATGTATACAACTACAGCGACATGAATGTTACTTGCCCAAAAATGGAAAGAAGAAGTCCCAGCGAAAGAAGAATGGATATAAAAACTTATGGAATATGTAGAAATGGCAAAACTTACTGGAAATATAAGAAATCAAGATAACAAACATTTTATAAAAGAATGGAAATGGTTTATTGAAGATTTACAAATAAACTGTAAACAGATAAGAACATTGGCAGGATTATTGTAATAACCTGCAGTTTTAGAAGAGTATATATTTAAAGTAGATGAATAAATGAGTAAATTAAGTAATGAGTAATTTGGAATATGCAGAGAATATAAAAAATAAATTTAAGGAACTGCAGAAAGAGGGGGAAGGAAGTCAAGTTTTGAAATATTAAAATGATTGTAAAATGATTGAAATGTATAAAACTGAAAATCATATATGCATTTTGTTACATTTTTTGGTGCACATTCTTTATCAAGGTAAACAAAGGCTTAACAGGGCAACTGAATGTGGTCAGTATATTGCCATATATTTCTGACTATACACTGTGGGAAAGGCAGTTGGGAAGAGTAATGACCTCTGCAAATGCAGGCCTACCTTCTTCATCCTCTGGACAGATTTGTCCTGCCTCTTTTCACACAAGAGTAATGCCAAGCTCTTTTGACTATTGTTGCCTGTGACATTTCTCAGAGGGGAAGTTATTCCTTTAGAAATCTGGCACATTGATCTCATGGGCTGTCTTTCCTCCATAGATGATGCTCTCCCAGTGCCTTTCATCTTAGTTGGACATGACCTCAGCTATTATGTAGAAAAGCTACTTGAAAAATACAAAAACCACGGGAGGCACGAGCGAAGCAGAGAAGCATAATTATAAAGATCAACAAGTATAGCTTCTCTTCATTCAAAGCAGTTCAATTACTAACTTCCGCAGTAGTAATGCTTACAAAGTAAGCATTTGTTCTGTTATTCGCACTCCGTTTGATAAAACGGCAGGAAGCCTGGACATTCCAACTAGTACTTAATGGCAGCTTTTATTCATGGTGCGGAAGCAAGAACTTGTTTCACTAATTAATTTGCTTCACATAAAACGGGGCATCAGCTAACGTGGTGTCCTCCATTTTGGGCTACAAAGCCCTTCAGTTCCAGCAAGCACTGCTAACAGTCAGGGGTGGTGGGAGTTGTAGTTCAAAACATCTAGAGGCTTCCCATAATAAATTCAACAATAATTAACAAGATGCTTACAGTGACATCCTATACATGTCCACACAGAAATAAGTCCCACTGGGACTTACTCCCACATAATTGTCTTTAGGACTGCCACCTCAATGAAGTACAAATTATGAAAAAATTACTTGTAGGAATTCCTGCTGTACAATGTTAGAAAGTAAGCCTTCTTTACCTTCTCCTAGGCCAGACTGGATCCTAATCCAGCACCACTACATTCCTTAAAGGCTCAACATCACTCTAATGATATTAAGTCAAGAGCTGTTGATCCTGCTGGACCAGCATCTTAAGAGACCAAAGTATTAGGAATTCTGGGATACAAACATCCTCAGTGACGTGGATCAATGAGGCACTTGACTGGGAGGACTCACAGAAGGCGTTTTATCATTCGGCAAACGCAAACACCCCCTTGACCTTTTGACGCAGCTGCTGTTGCTGCCAGTTGCTTGTGAGATCCTGAGATCCACAGTTTCACATTCCTGCTCCCCCTTTCTGTCAACCTGTAACTGGACCTTGACATCCCACTGATCCTGTTGATGCTACGAACATCACTGCCTCTCCTCTGCTCAGCAAAGGGCCATTGTGACCGTATCACTAGAGCAAAAGTCAGAGGTTTCGCAGGTGATGCCACTATGGATTATACTTCAGCTCTAAGCAGAGGAAAGATGAAAGGTTCTTAGTCTCAGGGTCATGTGTTCAAGCCCCATGTTGGGCAAAAGACTGGACTGGACTAGATGACCATTGTGGTCCTGTCCAACCCTGCAATTCTATGATTCAAGGCAGCAGCTCGAACTTGAGGAAGGATTATGCTGCACAACAGTAACATTCTAAGAACTAATAACATCCAGCATAAACAGACCCTTCTGTCTTCCCAGAAATGAAGAGAGGCATGAAGGCTATAGATTTCCTTTGATATATATATTTTAAATGTTTTGCTTGTATCTATAGAGCTTCCATAAGAATAATAATATGAGACTATACACAGACAATTTTCAAAAAAAAACAGAAATCCTCCTTATTTTCTAAATGGGAAAAATGTTTCAATAAGATTTCTTTAACATGGCTTTCATACAATACAATATATCATTTTCTTTGTAACAAAAGGGGTTGCTTTGTATCATTATATTCATTGTTTTAAAAGCAATCTATCCTACTTATATAACATGCATTCATTTCTTACAGATTATTGAATTTCCCTTTGCTATTTATAATGAGGATGAATGTCTCAAAATGAATCCTTTTCTTCCTACACTCAACATGAAGGGAAACCTTCACCTTCCACTGGGTGGATCCAGATGCTGTAAATGTTGCTGTTATTATTTATTTATTTATTTATTTATACTTGCCTTTTTTCTGGCTGGATCTACACAAATATAAAAAATGCTATAAAAATAAATATGCAATTTTCCATTGGGCTCGACAGCGCCATCTGGTGTCACATTTTTATAATGCACTTATAATGTTATAATTGCAGCTGTGTAGCTGAGTCCTGAGACTCAAGGCATCCTACAGATAAGAGCAAGAGCCGTTAATAACACAGAATACCTATTATTAAAATACAATTAAATGTTTATAGAATTAAAACTATGATTGCAATAAAAATAGCATGGCACCAGCCCTTTAACTAAAAGCAGTCAGTTCCTCAAAGCCTGTTGGAGCAAGAACGTCTTCACCTGCCAGCAGAATGGACAAGGGAAGGAGTTCCAGAGTCTGGGAGTAGCCACCACCAAGAAGGCCCTCTCCTGCGTCTCTACCAAGTATGCTTGTGAGGGTGGCAGAATTGCCTCTCCCAAGGATCTCAAACCCGGGCAGATTTGTTTGAGGGAATATGGTCTTCCTAAGCCCTGTAGGAAAGGCCTACTGTTAAGGAAAGGCCTTCTGATTTAACAATACAGCAGGGCCCCCAATCAAAAACTGCATTCGAAGGCTGCTCGTTGTAATGTTTGCCATGGCAGAAAACAGTTGGATGCATACATGCACCCAATAAGAAACAGAAAGTAATGCTATAGGATGCGGGAGTGGGGGCTAGCCTGCCTGTCATCTGTGGCACCCACCCAAGCCTTGGGTTTTATACCTGTAAGAAGGGTCTTGAAAACATGTTTTTGGTGTGAGGAATTCAAAACTATTACAATTGTTTTGATTCAACAACATTTAGCTTGGTAAATCTACATTTGATTAAAAAGCACATAAACTTCTCGGAAAATCAAAGAATTTTAATGTTACTTTCTGAATATGTCAGGTAATGCTAAATATTAATAATAGTAATAATATTAATAATAAATTGAAATACTAATAATATATACTATAACTGCAAGTACTTTGCAATCATTTTTAATGATTTCTATGCAATTTGACACGCATATTACTTACTAAGTAAAACGAAGTTATATTAATTTAACCAAAATATCTTTTGAATTCCCATCATGTTACAACTTTTTAGTACTCCATATTTTTGGAATTTGAAAATTTAAAATTTCAACATGCCCTAATGGGACAGCCTTGTCTATTCTCACCTGGAGCCAGAAGCTGGGAAGACACAGAGGCCTGACTTGCTCTCAGTGATGAGTCCCAACTACAGTTTGCCCGCCTTGCTGCTAGAACGCTAATGGAGGATGCAAACTGTTGGAGTGTTGAAGCTGTGAGCCCTTCCATCATCTCACATTCCACCTGTATACATGTGTAAATAAAACCACGAATCACAAAACATAGTATTCTTTAGTGATCTTCAATCCTATGTAGGAAGTCTCTCACCACCTGGAGGCGTGGGTGTTTGCAACAGCACACACTGCAACCTAGAATCATAGAATCATAGAGTTGGAAGAGACCACAAGGGCCATCGAGTCCAACCCCCTGCCAAGCAGGAAACACCATCAGAGCACTCCTGACATATGGTTGTCAAGCCTCTGCTTAAAGACCTCCAAAGAAGGAGACTCCACCACACTCCTGGGCAGCAAATTCCACTGTCGAACAGCTCTTACTGTCAGGAAGTTCTTCCTAATGTTTAGGTGGAATCTTCTTTCTTGTAGTTTGGATCCATTGCTCCGTGTCCGCTTCTCTGGAGCAGCAGAAAACAACCTTTCTCCCTCCTCTATGTGACATCCTTTTATATATTTGAACATGGCTATCATATCACCCCTTAACCTCCTCTTCTCCAGGCTAAACATGCCCAGCTCTCTTAGCCGTTCCTCATAAGGCATCGTTTCCAGGCCTTTGACCATTTTGGTTGCCCTCCTCTGGACACGTTCCAGTTTGTCAGTGTCCTTCTTGAACTGTGGTGCCCAGAACTGGACACAGTACTCCAGGTGGGGTCTGACCAGAGCAGAATACAGTGGCACTATTACTTCCCTTGATCTAGATGCTATACTCCTATTGATGCAGCCCAGAATTGCATTGGCTTTTTAGCTGCCGCGTCACACTGTTGGCTCATGTCAAGTTTGTGGTCAACCAAGACTCCTAGATCCTTTTCACATGTACTGCTCTCAAGCCAGGTGTCCCCATCTTGTATTTGTACCTCTCATTTTTTTGCCCAAGTGCAATACTTTACATTTCTCCCTGTTAAAATTCATCTTGTTTGTTTTGGCCCAGTTCTCTAATCTGTCAAGGTCGTTTTGAAGTGTGATCCTGTCCTCTGGGGTGTTAGCCACCCCTCCCAATTTGGTGTCATCTGCAAATTTGATCAGGATGCCCTTGAGTCCATCATCCAAGTCGTTGATAAAGATGTTGAATAAGACCGGGCCCAAGACAGAACCCTGTGGCACCCCACTAGTCACTCTTCTCCAGGATGAAGAGGAACCATTGATGAGCACCCTTTGGGTTCGGTCAGTCAGCCAGTTACAAATCCACTGAGTGGTAGCATAGTCAAGACCACATTTTACCAGCTTCTTTACAAGAATATTATGAGGCACCTTGTCAAATGCCTTGCTGAAATCAAGGTAGGCTACATCCACTGCGTTCCCTTCATCTAGCAGACTTGTAATTCTGTCAAAAAACGAGATCAGGTTAGTCTGACATGACTTATTTTTCAGAAATCCATGCTGACTATTGGTGATCACAGCATTCCTTTCTAGGTGCTCACAGACTGTTTGCTTAATGATCTGCTCCAGAATCTTCCCTGGTATTGATGTCAGACTGACTGGGCGGTAATTATTTGGGTCCTCTCTTTTCCCCTTTTTGAAAATAGGGACAACATTTGCCCTCCTCCAGTCTGCCGGGACTTCGCCTGTTCTCCAGGAATTCTCAAAGATGACTGCCAGTGGTTCTGAGATCACATCTGCCAGTTCTTTTAATACTCTTGGATGCAGTTCATCTGGCCCTGGAGACTTGAATACATCTAAACTAGCCAAGTATTCTTGTACTATCTCCTTAGTTATTCTGGGCTGTGTTTCCTTTGCTGAATCATTTGCTCCAAATTCTTCAGGTCGGGCATTGTTTTCTTTATCGGAGAAGACTGAGGCAAAGAAGGCATTGAGGAGTTCAGCCCTTTCTGTGTCCCCTGTTTGCATTTCACCATCTTCTCCTCTGAGTGACCCCACTGTTTCTTTGTTCTTCCTTTTGCTACGAACATACCCATAAAAGCCTTTTTGTTGCTTTTAACCTCTCTAGCAAGCCTGAGTTCATTCTGTGCTTTAGCTTTTCTGACTTTGTGTCTACACGTGCTGGCTATTTGTTTGAATTCCTCTTTGGTGGTTTCCCCCCTTTTCCATTTTTTATACACATCCTTTTTTAATCTTAACTCAGTTAAAAGTTCTTTAGATAGCCACCCTGGCTTCTTTAGGCACCTTCCATGTTTCTGTCTCATTGGTATTGCCTGACGTTGTGCTTTTAGTATCCCTCTTAACAAACTCCCAGCCATCATGAACTCCCTTTCCTTTTAGTATTACTGTCCATGGGATCTCACCCAGCACTTCCCTAAGTTTTATGAAGTCAGCTTTCTTAAAGTCAAGAAATTGAGTCCTAGTATGCTTGGCTGCTCCTTTCCGCAGCCAACCTATTCTATTGGCTACAGTAAATGGCTAAACCTAATAAATGGCAATTTATTTGGCTTAGGAAACTGCCAGATATGGCAACTAAGGCTTTAATTAAAAAGACAAGAGAAGGAGGGATCATCCCCACAGCCAAGGGGTGAGGCTGGGTTGGGCCAGGCATGCAGGGAGGCAGCGGGCGCAGGTGCCCTCCTAGCCCAGGCAGGTCAGGCCGATGGGAGGCGAGGGGCCTGCAGAGGATTGGAGCTGGGGAGGGGAGGGCAGAAGGGAATGGGCGAGGCCTGGCTTGGAGTGGGGAGCTGGGAACTACCTCGCAGCACCGAAAAAAGTGCAGTAAAAAATCACGTGGGTCAAATAATGAACACTGTTAAAGGTAAAGGTACCCCTGCCCGTACGGGCCAGTCTTGCCAGACTCTAGGGTTGTGCGCTCATCTCACTCTAGAGGCCGGGAGCCAGCGCTGTCCGCAGACACTTCCGGGTCACGTGGCCAGCGTGACAAAGCTGCATCTGGCGAGCCAGCGCAGCACACGGAACGCCGTTTACCTTCCCGCTAGTAAGCGGTCCCTATTTATCTACTTGCACCTGGGAGTGCTTTCGAACTGCTAGGTTGGCAGGTGCTGGGACCGAACGACGGGAGCGCACCCCGCCGCGGGGATTCGAACCGCCGACCTTTCGATCGGCAAGTCCTAGGCGCTGAGGTTTTACCCACAGGGCCACCCGCGTCCCCTATAGGGTGTAAGCAGTGGATGCACGCAGTAGCGTGGGGAGCAGCGGGAGCACAAATGGAAAAAACAATAAAGCAACAGCGCGGATGGGCCGATGGCGCGCATGCCAGCAGTGAGGGCTCCGCATACCCACTCTGGCACGCGTGCCATAGGTTCACCACCGCTGTAATATTGCATCCTATTATCAGGCTGTTAAGCAGGCCTCATTAAATAAATGACTGGCTTCTCTCTGAGGAAACTATTGAAAAGAAGAAGAAATTAATAAAAGGTTTAATATGGTACCATGAAAAATAATAATTATAAAAATAAATAAACTTGAGTACAATTCTGTTAAAAGGGCGTAGCCAGGATTTATTTGGGGGGGGCAGGCTTTATGTTGAGGTTGCAGAACCAATTTCAATCAATCAATTTCTTTATTCGACCGATAGTCAGAATTAAAACATTACACAATAATTGTAAACTATAACATCATAAGTTACATAAGGTACATAAGTAAGGTAGAGCCACAGTACTAGATCTCTCACAGATAACCCACGTCAAAGCATTCAATTATACGTTTCCGACACTTGAGTGCCAGGAAAAGAAATTTAGCCACTGACAAGGTTGTTTTCCCAGAAGACTTATTTAGCAGATATGCTGTCTGCTTTCCTCTTTGTCGGGAACTGAGCTGGGGTAAGTATGGAGTTATAAGATACTGTCTTAAATCGTTGTAGAAGGGACAGCTCAATAAAATGTGCTCTGTGGATTCTACCTCAGCAGAACCAATTTATCTGTGATGCAAATGGTCAGTTAAGTATTTTTATTTACTTACTTGATTGGGGGACAGCTCCCCCCCCGCCTCCCCCCCCCCCCGCTGTGCTCATGTCTCCTAGTCTATTTCTCTCTAGCAGTCAAGATCAAGTCTGTGTCCTGGTTTATGACTATGCACATCTTTTTAAACAATGAACCATCACATTTCAGGTGTGACAAGAGATGTATCAATATGGATATATCACAATCTACATAGTCCTGAAAATTTGGTAAACGGTCAAAAACATAACAGTTTATGAAGAGAGGAGAAGGGGAGGTGTAATACCTTCGTGCTTCCAGTACTTTCAAGCAAGAAATACCCCATTATCTGTGTGTAGAAAATATTATCAAATGAGGGAGAAAAGTAACTGAGTTCAAATCCCCCGTGCAAAGATTTTTTTATATATTCTTGTTATTAGATCTGAGAGTGTCGCTGAGTATGTTGTAACCTTATGAAAAAGTGGGCGAAGGATTTGGGACGTCACATGAAGAAGTGGAATTGGATCAGTATGTGTTTTTGTGATAATATTGATTGAGTACCAGTGATAGGGGGGAAAGTGCCAGAACTCACCACGAATCCTCCCTTGTTCTCTTATTATGGCAGTGACACCCACCTGGGAGGTGCCAGTGAGTTCCGGCTGAAAAAAGGCCCTCCAGAGCCCTGTTCCATTTTGTGTGTGCAGCCCATGGCAGCCATGCTGTGCTGGCGCCCAGGAACACTTTTATCAAGATGGGAGGACAAGCACATCTTTTTTTTACCAAAAGAAAGTACAGGATCGTATACTGAGGAACATATTGCTTAAAACTAGTATTTACTGGTCTGATTTAACAACAAAAACTCAGTATCAATACTCTCCAAGTTAAGTCAGATTTATCATTCTGTAAATATTTGGAGTTTGCTGTCCAATAATGCAACCTTTTCAAACCGAAATTCTGCTTATTTTAAATACTGTAAAGCAACCATAAGCTGTAACATTTATGATAACCTAGCTCTTACTGCAAACCCGTCTTTAATACCTGATTTGCTATTTTTGTGAAATGCACGTTTAGACAACCAAGCATACATCTCACTCATATGGAAAAAACGTCAGCATAATTTGTTATACCAAAGCCAATTTATTCTAAATGGTAAATGCCCTATGGAGAAGAAACCTATCCTGTTTTAATATAATTGTGAAGGCAGGACACAGCTCCAGCAGCCTCCATGCTGAAAATAAATGACCATCATGGAGAAATGCAACAAATAAGGACAGAATGCACTTTGCAGGTAGTCACAAATGCTATTGTTTCAGAGTGTGGTTCTTTATGGTTTTAATTAAAGTAACACCACTGGGATTTTTAAAAGGCTGCAGATTAGGTTTCTGGATTCAAACTGAGTTGAGGAAATAGGTAGGAACCTGAGCATATCCTTTGCTGGGTAGACCAGACAACTGGACTAAGAGCTCCCTGTTCTTGGATATAAAGTTTGTGAATATATTATCATTATTTTGTGTGATCTCAGAAGCTAAGCAGGGTCAGGCCTTGTTAGTACTTGGATGGGAGATGGTCTGGGAAAACAGGGTGCCATAGGCTTTGTTGAGATTACTGGCTTGCAGAGGGTTGGGCTAGGTGACCCATGGAATCCCTTCCAATTTTACGATTCTATGATTCTTATTTCTTAAACTCCTAAAACCCAGGTGCTGCATAAATCATAATTTAATCCAACAGATCCTGTCAGTAGGTTCACAACCTAAAAAAATGAACTGATACAAGAGTAAAGATAGAGAAGAGGGAAAGCGGAGGATGTGCATACACATAACAAGACAGCCATTAAATTCCCAGCTGTTTTTCCCCCTAATTGTAGCAAGAAACTTGAAAGTAGATGTTCCATAATGTTAGTATGGTGCAGGAGAACCAGCTACAGGAGGCTGAGACCTTTCTGACCCCCCTATATTTTTGAGTTCGGGACCAGGGACCCCCAATGTTCCAAAAGCGCAGAGTCAAAGCACAGAGTCAACCACAGGGCAGCTCCAGCAGCCAGGTCTGTCTCCGTCTCCTCCTACCGCGAAAGGGAAGGAGGATCAAAGCAGCCACCCACCAGCGGCGGTACCAGGAGGAGGTGGACGAGGATCCACCAGCCACTGAAGTTGCACAGCCACCACATTTGGCTCCTCCCCCAGCTCCTACCAACGCCCTGATGTCACACGCACAACGTTCTCCCTCTACTCCAAAATTGCTCTCATAAGTTGGCACCTCTGGCACAATGGAGTAGCTATATGGTTGGACAAGGGCTATTATGGAGACCTATAAGGTTCAAACCCTCAGAGCCAGGAAACTCACAGAGTAACCTTGAGCCACTCATTCTCTTAACGTAATTAACCTTTAGAGGATTCGTATATGCATAGTATTCTGGCATCCTATGACAACAAACCTCCAAAATAGTGTCCAGGCCATAGGGGCCAAGTTCCCGGGGCCATGGGTGCCATGGCCCCCACAACATTTTAAATGAGGGGGCCAGGCTCCCACAAAGTCCGGTGCAGCCACACGTGCACTCTGCGGGGCATGTGTGCACTATATCATCACACACCCCTGGCGTGTGCGCGCTGACATCACCCATGCACATAGCAGGGCATAGTGCTGTAGCAGGGGATCAAATACTTTCCCCCCTCGCTGTAGATGGGGAAAACAAGATGAAAATGAGTTCAATATAGAGAATGTATCTATGGCCACTGATAAGACTAAGTTGCCGGATGTGCCAGATGACTCTAACTTAATGCTTTCAAAAGATATTTAGAAGGAGGTTTACAAAAAGTAGGAGTATTGCTATACCATTAATGTGTAGGTTTTTCTTAAAGGAGCTACCTGGGAAATCAGTAGAAAAGACAAAGAACCTGTGCAGAACATGGTGTAATTTCAGAACAAGAAAAATTAATTTCAGAATGAAAGCAGTAACGGTTGGTCCACTCAGGTGGTCTGTGGCATGTCTGTAAAAATGCAATGAGAAATCATATTGCATCCAGCACAGTGCATTACAATTGCTGCAGCAGACAGAAAAAATAATTAGGAAGTCTGCCAAGAGCTTCAGCCACTTTTCCAGCGGTCGTGGGTTGGGGGGAAGTGTGAGAACTGCTGAGGTAAATATTGTTTGCTATTTATAAGTAAACTTACGTTTTTAATGAAAACTTTTCACACATTTTAATTATATTTAAGCTATGTACAATATATGTTAGGACCCAGACAAAAACACTGGTGCAGGCTTTTTATAGTTAATATCACACGTTCTGGTGAATACAAGCAAGTCACAACTCCCTTAGCTGCTAGTCTGTGAGAATATGGCAGCAAGCTGTGACCGATCCTTGTTAAGAGTTTGGTAATGAAGGTAGCCCTGGGATTGTCTGGAAATAAACTGACAATGTTGAAGGGCCTGGAAAACAAGGGCCTCGTATATTGCTGAACATATGCAACTCTTAAAGTGCCCCCCCCGCTGCCGCCCATGCCTACAAGCTTCCCTGTTTCACCTGCCCCATTAAACCATCTGTTAGACATGTGTCAGGTAAGTTGCTGGAACCCACCTTGGTCAATGCAGATATTGCTTCAGCACTAATCATCATCATCATCATCATCATCATTTATTTCTATCCTGCCCATGTGGCTGGGTTTGCCTCCAAACTCTGATTGCATATGCATGCTACTGGATACTAGGATACCACCATGATACTAGGAAGAAGACGACAATATTTTCAACAAATACAGTGGTACCTCGGGTTAAGAACTTAATTCGTTCCAGAGGTCCGTTCTTAACCTGGAACTGTTCTTAACCTGAAGCACCACTTTAGCTAATGGGGCCTTCTGCTGCCACCGCACAATTTCTGTTCTCATCCTGCAGCAAAGTTCTTAACCCGAGGTACAATTTCTGGGTTAGCGGACTCTGTAACCTGAAGCGTATGTAACCTGAAGTGCATGTACACTCATTGCAGCTGGAAGAGGGGCTGGGGCAAGGCATCCTATCAAGAGCCTTTTCTCTAAGTGCAAAAATACTGTAAGGTGTCATTTTGATATGTATTACTTAGAATTGGTTTTATGTTGCATATATCACGAAGCCAGAAGAGGGGAGTTATTTGAAGGGGTTCTCATGTTCAAACCTGCCAACTTTTGAAAATTCAAGTTTCAAAAATCCCAGGGTGGGACGACACAATCCATTGTTAGATTCCCCTGCACAAGCCCCATTGAGATGAGGAATTCAATGGAGATTGGCTGCTTCTGTTCTCAACAGGGGTGAGGCACTCCTGGAAGCTAAGAAATCCTGAATGTTCTCATGGAGTTTCCGGTTGACACTGCTGATGCTTCATTTGAAACCATGGTCTCACTGTGGAATGGTGAGATGAAAAGCACTATCAATGGATCACCCCCAAACACACTCTCCTGTGCTGAAGAGCCCAACTTTCCTGGTTTACTGAGATATTAAGGATGATGAAACAGGCAGGACAATTAGAATGCAGAGGACACAAATACTATCTATGAGCAGACACAAGAGCACATTATAGTGCTTACTTTATGTTAGTGATGTTGGAGAGAGTCTTACTTCTCATCAGCACTGGGTTCTCAGAGATTTCCTATGTAGTAAATGTTGGAGAGAGAGAGGTTTGGATGAGAGAACCTACTCTCCAGTAGCAGAATTAAGCACAATGGCCATTGCAAGCAAGTCTCCACTCATTGGCAGCAAAATGTTGATGTCTGGATTGTAACTTCCCTGAGATCATATCATGACTTAGGCTGCCCTGATTTGTAAAAACACTTTCAAAAAAACATCAACGTACGATAGCTCTCAATGCAATTTTGCATTGACAACGGATCACTGCTCTACAGTGCCCTCTGGTGTCACATTTTTATAACTCGTTTTTAACGTTTTAACTGACCAGTGTAGATAAGGGTAGACAATGTCTGCATTCCTTGGGAATGAGGAATGGACCAGGCAACAGTATGGCATCCAGAGAATTTAAAGTACATGCTATGTTTGCAAATGGGCGAAAATAAAAGTGTTTTCCTGCAGGCCAGTATGAAGATCTGTCAAATGTAGCCTTGCTATAAATAGAGCGAAGTTTCTATCTACATGTATTGTTTTAGTAGATTTCATTGTCACATAAGCTTGGCCTAAAAGACAAAGATGTTGGTTTTTTAAAAACTTCTCCATTTGATCACCTAGAACAGGCATGGCCAAACTTGGCCCTCCCGATGTTTTGGGACTACAATTCCCATCATCCATGACCACGGGTCCTGTTAGCTTGGGATGATGGGAGTTGCAGTCCCAAAACATCGGGAGGGCAAAGTTTGGCCATGCCTGACCTAGAACATGGGTAGGCAAACTAAGGCTCAGGGGCTAGATCCGGCCCACTCGCCTTCTAAATCCAGCCCACGGACGGTCTGGGAATCAGCATGTTTTTACATGAGTATAATGTGTCCTTTTATTTAAAATACATGTCTGGGTTATTTGTGGGGCATAGCAATTCGTTCATTCCCCCCCCCCAAAAAATAGTCTGGCCCCCACAAGGTCCGAGGGACCGTGGGCAGGCCCCCTGCCGAAAAAGTTTGCTCACCCCTCACTTAGAACAATGGTGGGAGACTTCCAGCCCACAACTGTAATTAAAATAAATAAAAATCCACCAGCATTTTGGTGTGAATTTCTCTTAATACATTTTTGTATGTTGTTTCAACTAATATACACATTTTTGCAAGCATTTTTTTCTAATAACATTTATTTTTGTGTTTTTTGAAACAATTATTCATTTTTATGCATACTTCCACTAATATATTTTTGGAAACACTGGTTGGTTTGCCAAATTTGACTAAGTGCAAATTTCAAAGGATGGCTGTATTTTGGTTCTCCTATTGTTTCACAATGTGCAGATTTCCATAGAGTCACCTTGAAATGTGACCTGAAACAAATCCCCTCCAAAAACCTGTTGCAAAGAAATAAAGGAAAGAATCAGGAGTTGAGTCACCTGACATCATGGTGCTATCAGGTGATTAATAGATTGTGATTGTGCTCATAATGCTATTGGGGTGGCCATATATGACCTTGCTTTCAACACCATTTGTGCCGATGAAACTTTTGGGGTGGTCACACTGCCTCATTTCTAATCCGTGCACATCCCATGACTTCCTGCTGAAATCCCGTAACTCATCCCACAAATGTTCTGGCTTATTTTTGTCCCACTCTTGTTGTGCTATAGCCTCTCTGGACTGCAACAATGTGGTAGCATTGGGGAAGCATCACAGAAGAAATGGCAAAAATAAATTTGCAATCAATGCACTATTACTGTGTCAAGAAAATGCTGAGGAGCCTTTCGCGTCTGCCAAGTCTGCCTGTAAGAGGGGAGCCTGTTTCACAGGAGTTCCCCAGGGAAAGAGATGGAAGGTTGGTGAGATCTCCCCAAAGAAGTGATTCATATCGTTCACAAGTAACACAGAAAATGAAACACACTGATTAGAAAACACACTGCAGCCCTGGTTTTAAAGAGGATATTATTCATGGAGTCATTTTGTCAAGAACTATTAAGAACCTACAGACTCACATCATTGAGCCCTCCCCTTCTTCAAAATGTAACAGTCCTGTCTACTGGACATTTATCAGAATTTTGGTCAGTTTAGTTTTAAATGACTCAATCAATAGGGTTTTGGAGGGCACATCTCTTGGGAGATAATTGCACAGGAAAATAAATTGCACTGTCAGGAAGATTTCTCTGATATTCAGCATTTCAGGTCAAGCACATTCACAGACTCCTTCATAGGTTTGTTTTTGTTGTTTAAATGAAACCTAAACCTCCCCTCGCTCCCCGACTACTCAGATGAAAGAATACATGTTTTCGAGAGAGAAACGCCTCCCCCCCACAAAAGACACTTGGCCTTGCCAGCTATGCCATGCCCTCCATCCCCATCCTCAAATAGCTGCTCAGCACTCCATGCCCACTGGACAATGTTAGTCGTCATTGAGCCATTTGGGGTTTTCTGCCCCAGTATATATTGTATTTTTGCAAGCCTATGGATAACTCCCTGTTTTGTGGATGGATTTTGGCCTACCTACCTAAGAATCCACACTTTGATAACGAGTTTAGTACATAGGATACTGCTTTTTTTAAAAAATCAGCAGTGAACAGTATTGTGCAATAGAAACAGGCATCGAAGCACCACTACTTGAAAATATGAGCAACTTAAATAACTGAAAGGCAAATGGGAACATGAACATCTACACAGCATTGCATTACAGACACAATGCTAAGAGTAGCTCTAAAATGAAATGGGAGAGAGAACAACCACATAAGAGGAAAGAAAGAGCAGCGACTGAGGCCTTCGAGGACTCCTGACCAAAATCATGTTAGATTCACACCAAGCCATTCATGTTTATTTCACAGGCTCTTAACTGTGTTACACATCCTTAGGGGAAGGATGACTAATTTGGGAATGATTGTAATATGGCTAATTTTCCTCAATTTCAGCTAGTATGAATAGCCTGATCTTTTTCATCTTTTGTGATGCCAAACAGCCCATACTTAAACACCAGACTAGATTCATGATTTGTGACCATCTTATACAGTAGGCCCCTCGCCCGCAAAAAAGCCCACACACGCCAATCAGCAGAAATCAGTTTTCCAAACATGAAAACCAAGAGGTATCACTTGATCTACAATATTCTGTGTGCTGCTCAGCTACACCATTCAAGATGCTATGCGGCACTGCAAGCAGAACATAATACCAGCCACAGTGTGACATAAGCATAAATAATTCATACACCCACAATGGCATTGTTAAAAATAGACTATTCTTTGTGACACTATCAGACATGCTCCTTTGAGAATTTGTTGTACCTCGAGACAAGAGGCTTTCAGAGTGGATGGGGAATGACATCTTCATCCGTGCCTGTGTGCAAAGCCCCATTAGTAAGGCACAATTATCAAGGTGCAACTGCTAACACAGTGAAGCTCCGTTTCAAAACCATTCAGTCACGCAGCTCCACATGCATATATGGGGCAAGGAGGCAGTCGATCTTGAAGCAAACCAAAATCTATCCCAGACATCTGCAGACTGTGGCCTATGGCAGTGCCCTTGCAAAGTGATTCAGAACTGGGGATGTGGCAACTGAGGTCTTGGCAAAAAAAAAAAAGAATTTCCGCAAGAGCATGCATGCCCTGCCCCCCCCCAAGGGATGCGGGTGGCGCTGTGGTCTAAACCACTGAGCCTCTTGGGCTTGCTGATTAAAAAGTTGGCAATTCGAATCTGCACAATGGGGGGAGCTCCCATTGCTTTGTCCCAACTCCTGCCAACCTAGCAGTTTGAAAGCATACCAGTGCGAGTAGATAATTAGGCACTGATGCGGTGGGAAAGTAAACAGAGTTTCTGTGCACTCTGGCACTTGTCATGGTGCTCCATTGCACCAGAAGCAGTTTAATCATGCTGGCCACATGACCTGGAAAGCTGTCTGCAGACAAATGCTGGCTCCCTTGGCCTGAAAGCAGAGATGAGCACCGCACCCCATAGTCAAATTTGACTGGACTTCACCGTCCAGTGGTCCTTTACCTATGGCCCCCCAAAAAACATGACAGTGCCACGGAACTCCTGGGTGGATTATGTGGACCTCCTGGGGTCCTCAGACCACCAACTGGGAACCACTGTTTTAGTGTATTGTTGTTTTTCCCCCTTTTTTATGGTTTTATCTTTTTGTAAGCCACTTTGAGGGGATTTTTTTAACAACCAAACTGAGTATAAAGCTTATGAAACAAAGAAAGAAATAAAAACCATAACAGGGCCTCACATTCACACATGGTAGATGGTAAACACTTCTCAGTGACACTTAAGAAACAAAACAATGTATTTTTCTCACTTTTGCTAATATTTTGTTGCATGCAGCAAACTGTAAACTAAGCAGCCATCTCTCCAGCTTTTACTCCAGCTATTCAAATTCCAGGTCAGATATTCATTCAACCGTATGAATGTGATTAATATTGTTGGCATCTGTCTGTCTTGAGAGACAATGGCGGGTGCCTTCGAGGGTGAAGTCAAACCTCTGTGCTAGCAGCACCGAAGTGACCTCCTTGGGGCATGGAGGTCTGGGATGCTCAGAATACAAGACACCTCCCCCTCTTGGCCTCACTGCTGGGCTCCAAAGGAAAGCTGAGCAAGACGTCTGGCACCAGCTTGGCTGCAGGAGTTGCTGGAAGGAGGCCTACAAGTCGCCATTCCACTGTCTTAGGGACTCCACTCCAGATTTGTGTAGGGTTTACTCCTTAACTTTTCCTCTCCCAAAGATATCACACAAGGCAGTGGAAGGGATTATTATTATAATTATTATTATATATTTATACCCCCACTTTCCCCCCCAATGGGACTCAAGGGGGCTTACAGATAAAAACAATAATCACTTTAAAATAGGGGGAAATAATTAAAAATAATTAAACTATAGCATTAAAACTATATACATGTATATAAACTGTTTTAAACATACAGATAATCCCAATGAAAACAGCATGGCACCAGCCCTTTCTCTAACTTTACAAGAACTGCTTTGTGAGTTCTGCCTGAAACACGGCCTATGAAGACCTTAAACAAACCAGTGGCCATAGTCCCAGTCTTTGACATTCGCCAGTTGCATACACCAAGTTTTACAGCCTCACAGCCTCACCTCATCATCAGCCATGGTTACCTTGCAGGTAGGTGCCTCCTGAGAGTTTCCTCCCAAGGTGCTGTCCCTCTTGCCCTCTTCTCCATTTTTCTGGCCTCTGTGGACTCCTTTTTAATCTCCCATCATTAAAGGGGCTGGCTGAATCCCAGCAGCTACACAACAAGCTCCCGCACCCCTCTGCCTCTAGTGGGAGGGCACTGGAAGACCATTTGGAGTCAAGTTATTTCGAGTACCAACAGTCTGGGGAGCCTATGTTTGAATGCCAACGAAACAAAAGCCTATGCTGCTGAGGTCAGAATGTTTCTGGCTCCTCACCATGGAAACCCACAAGCATGGGATAAGGGGCCAGTTCAGGCTCCATCAGATTCCAGAATGAGCACTATGGTGGCAGTTGGATGAGAAGGACAGGCAGAGAGGCCCAAGAACATTCCCTCCTCTCAGGTCAAGGGATTCTCATTCATACCGACATAGGCTGAATAGTGTGAGTGGTGGAAGTTACTCATGAGTAAGTCAGTGAGGCAGACAGAGCCCAGCCTGATCTCACAGCACAGGCAGGATGGAGGGAATGGAAGGGGGCTTGGCCCATAACCCTGAGATTAAGAGTCTCATGCTCTACCAACTGAGCTATGGGTACTGTGTGGAGCAATGGATGTAAATTTTATCTTTGAACAGTAGGCTAGTTTCTCACGTACTCACACACGCCCCTCTCTATCCTCCCCCATCCAGGCAAGTAAGAGGCATTATCAGGGTCCAAGGACACATTTGAGCCAGGCAAAAGCACTCAAGGAGAATGCAAAGCAGGACTGGTGCTGAACATGGCCCAGAGGGAAGGGTGTGTGGCTGGGCAGGGGCTGCACTGCAGGGCCAGGTAGAGAGGCCTGCAGGGCTGCATTTGGCTCCTGGCCCTGAGGTTTCCCACCACTGGGCGAGACAGACCATTGGTTTAATGCAATAAGCCAGGGGGAGGCAACCTAAGGCCCATGGGCCGAATGTGGCCCAATTGCCTTCTAAATCCAGCCTGCGGACAGTTTGGGAATCAGAGTGTTTTGACATGAGTAGAATGTGTCCTTTTATTTAAAATGCATCTCTGAGTTATTTGTGGGGCATAGGAATTCGTTCATATTTTTTTTCAAAATACAGTCCGGCCCCCCACATGGTCTGAGGGACGGTGGACTGGCTCACGGCTGAAAAGGGTTGCTGACCCCTGCAATAAGCACTTACATTTCTAATCAGCACAAACTTTCTTAGCAGGATCTGAGGTGTAGCAGTGGCTATTAGCCATAACGAGGAATGGGCAAATATGTTGATTTCTGTTTCTCTCCGTTTCTTATTTTTTTCAATCTTAAGTTCAGTTCTCCACATTTCCATATCTGACTGCAATTTTAAATAAATAAATAAATAAATAGATGAATGGTTCTTACAAAGTTTCATCAGAATTTTAGTGTGGATTTCTCCTTATATACACATTTTTGCAAAGCTATTTTCCCCAATATAATGCATTTTATTTTCAAGACTATATAGAGACCTATGCATACGCTACCCGTGTGTGTGTGTGTGTGTGTGTGTGTGTGTGTTTGCACAGATTACTAGGCTAGCAAATATTTATTGCAAAATTCAGAGACATGCAGATTTTGAAGGACGGCTGTGTTTCGGTTTGCATGTTGTTTTGGAGAGTATGAATTACGCAAATTCACTTTTAAATGTGAACTAAATTGAGTTTCTCCTGCAATCCAATTGTAAATAACAGAAACCTCCATAATCAGAAGTAGCATGTCACTATGTGGGGTAAATAGCAAGGGACGGCCATCACTGTCATGCCCTGTTTATGAAGCTCCAGGCACATCTGGATGACCACTTATAGCAGAATGCTGGACTAGATTGGCCATGGATAACATGGCAATTCCGACATTTTATTTTAGTGTTTTAATTCATTGTTTTTGGCACAGAGATATATATGCCATTTTCCCATTCACAAATTGTTAACTTCATTCGGTCACTGTCTCTCCTCTCTCTCACCCCACGTAACAGATGCAGGAAAGGCTTTTCTTTCTAGCCACAGTATAGTAAGAGAGGAAGGGATTGCAGCTGTTCTCTCATTATTAGAAAAACCGCATCTAGCAATTTTCCTGTTCAGGATACGGAGCCAAGATTCCTTAATAAGGGTCACAGGCTGTGAAGTCACTGGGACATTTGGAAGAACCCTCTGCATACCACTAAAAATGTCAACTGGGAAGACTACAAATATTATTACAGTCACTTCAAAGCCAGTAACAACTTTAGCCTGCCTCACAGCAACTAATTTTTAATAGGAACCCTATTTTGAACCAAGCAAGTGTTCACTGGTGAGCAACATTGGCTTCACCCATCAGCTCATTCTCACAAACAACATAATAAAATTATTATTTAATCCTCTATCCACATCAGTATGAACAGCAGCAGAGGCCTTTCCAAAGTATACCCCTTTAAGCATCTTGCCTGCCACTCCCATTTCTCTACACCTTGACTTCTGCACGGTAGGGAGTAGCTGAGGTGGAAAAAGAGAAAGTTCTGAATGCCCCTCTGTTGCTGTTCTCCTTGGGGAATGAATGAGGATTCAAGAGGCCATGTTACACCTTCCCAGAAAGTGGCTGGGATGTATACTTGTATGTGAGGGAAGAAGGATGCCTAGGATCCAGGCCAAGCTGGTGACCAGGAGAGAATTCTTTGGAATTCCAGTTGCATCTCTTTAATCGATAGCAATCACAATAGTACTAACAACTCATGTGCTATGAATACCTCTTATTCTTACAGTCTTATTTCTACTTAGAAGCAAGCTTCATTGATATCAATGGGACTTATCGTCCCAGGTAACTGTGTTTTGGGTTGCAGCCTTTAACTGGCCATAACATTATCAGAAAAAATGTCTAATATGGTCAAAGGCTCCTGAAAGCAAACACAAATGTACACAATACCTTTTTTGAACTGAATGCCCCCATAGAAGGATAAATTATTATACTAAGTAATACCAGCTTGTGTGAACAATGATGTCTTCCAGAAATAGATACAGTGGTACCTCTAGTTATGAACATAATTCATTCCAGAGGTCCGTTCTTAACCTGAAACGGTTCTTAACTAGAGGCGTACTTTCACTAATGGGGCCTCTTGCTGCCACTGCGCCATTGGCACACGAATTCTGTTCTCATCCTGGGGCAAAGTTCTCAACTCGAGATAACTCTTCCAGGTTAGCAGAGTTTGTAACCTGAAGCGTTTGTAACCTGAGGCGTTTGTAACTCGAGGTAGCACTGTACAGGCTACTTCAGGCTAAAATTCTGCAAAGTCAATTTGCAACACAATTTAAATTAAATCTTAAGCATGAGAACTGTAAACTCACAGCTGGGTGGATACTAGTAGGCCTTTTTGCAATGAAGCAAAACTTTTGAGTCAATTGCTTAACCTCAATTTTAATTTACAAATGAGGTGATTACTTAATTTTTATAATTATGAAGCATGCATGCACTCATACAGCTGTAGAGAAACCTGCTGGGTAAAAAAAGCTTTGGCGGAAAACAATACCTCAATTTTAAAAAGGGGAAGGGGGGCACTTGTCTAATTAGTCATTTACAGGATTGATTAATTAAGTTTGAGAGGGGAGAAAATAAAGCTTGTCACCAGCAAGTTGAATCCCTTTTGCAAATTCAAAGCAGTGGCAATTAGAAACAATTGCCAGGGAACTCATTTGTAAAAGGTCAATGCAATTATTTCTAAGGCCTGGAAAGCTTTCCTTCAATACTAGTCAGTGCTAGGAAGTACTGCAACAGCAATGGTTAGGTTTGCTAATAACCATGAGAGGGTTGTCTTACCATATTTTCACACAGCGCAATTCACCATGGTACTGTGGCAGAAAACATAATTATTTCTGCTTGGAAAAGGAAGATAATGAATCTCTCACCACATCATAGTTTTTGGAGTCTATTCTCTCTTAAATCTTTTTTAGCGGAGAGAAAGGTTCCAACTCTTACACTGTAGTCATCACCTTTTGTAGAAGAGCCACAATAGTACCTCAACATAGGTAAAGGGACCCCTGACAGTTTGGTCCAGTCGTGGACGACTCTGGGGTTGCAGCGCTCATCTCGCTTTACAGGCTGAGGGAGCCAACGTTTGTCCGCAGACAGTTTTTCTGGGTCATGTGGCCAGCATGACCAAGCCGCTTCTAGCAAACCAGAGCAGCGCACGGAAACGCCATTTACCTTCCCGCCAGAGTGGTACCTATTTATCTACTTGCACTTTGATGTGCTTTCGAACTGCTAGGTTGGTAGGAGCAGGGACTGAGCAACGGGAGCTCACCCGATTGTGGGGATTCGAACCGCCGACCTTCTGATTGGCAAGCCTTAGGCTCTGTGGTTTAGACCACAGCGCCACCCGCATTCCTCCACAGCACCACCCGCATCCCTGTACCTCATCATACCATTCCACAAAATTAGCAGAAACATCTAACCCTCAAGCTAAAACATTTTCAGAGCGTTTCCCTTCTCTCCTGTCTCCTTCCTAGAAAGTTTTCCTTAAGTGACAAGTATCATTCAATTTCACATCTGTATTTCTGTAGCATCAGCACTTCAGCTGCATTTCTCCTTGGCTGTATAAACTTCACTAAATGGTCATTACTGATACTCTAGTAACCTCCAATGGATTTGAGCAAGCTTAAAGGGACATGTGGCAGCAACTCCTTTGCAGATATATCTTTGTGTTGCTTGACCTGAATTGCATATAATCCTTTAAAGAAACAGCTTTGGACGATAGCCCCTCATAGCTCTTAAAAGAGGAGGGGGAAATGACTCTCAGTGACACTTATGTTGCCCCATTTTCACTCCTGTATTTTTCAATCCCAAGCAGAAAAAATTCATTGTGACACCAAATTGAGCATCTTAAATCTCTAGTTGCTGAGTTCAGAAAAAGCTGGAATGCCACTAAGATAATTCTACATACATATAAACCAGTGCATTATACAGATCTTAGCAATGCTTTTCAGAGTCAGCTATATAAAACAGGGATTCAGGTAGCTATGATCCATAGCTAAGATTCATTTGACAAATGTTGCAGCCCTGGGCATTATTTCATACTGGTATTAAATGATTGGTTTCAGTAGCCACAACATAAGAATGTAGGGTGGTGGTTTAAAGATTTCCTTTATGTAGAAAGTTTGCCGAGTACCAATAATCTCACTCTGCTGTTCTGATAAAATATTCAAGTAAGACTTGATCACAGCTTATTCTCCACTTTCCTCTTTTTTAATTGCTCCGTCAAATGAAATGATTTTTGAGGGACTGGCATTTTTTAGGCTATTCGATAGCACTACTTTGTGACTGAATGGTAGAATCAGAATCAGAAGAATCTTTATTTTAATCAGACACTAGCCATAGCAATAAAATAAAATGTACTGAAGAGAGGTAAAAACTTAACTATGCAAAAGACATCTGGAGGTTTACATCAAAAATCAAATAATAGATCTTATTCTAACTGCCCCTGCTAAAATTTTTCCAGTTTTCCCTGTCACCTGATTATCTTGATCTGCTAGAAGAAAGGACACAGTAGCAATGGTTGAGCGACCCGATATGGATAGTAGCAGAGGAGTAAGAACATCACTCCTCACATCTTTATAAAGTGTGCAAGCTAGAAGCTTGATTCAATATTGCCATCTTCACATGGACATTTTTCCAGCGGAATTTTTTGAAATCAACCCTCAAGTACAGCTGAAGGCAGTGTATTTAATCTTGCATAAGTTAAAGTGTGTCTGTATTTTGGAATTGTTAAATTTTGCAAATAGGGTGTCAATGTTTCTTAATGACTAGGTGAAAAATAATCATACCAGTAGACTGGTAGGGTTTAAATTTAGCCAAAGCCAATAATTAAATGTCCTACACCAAATCTGTAATGCAACAGAGGGGAGATTAGCTTCCACACACAATGAAGCATTTGGAACACAGGATGGAACAGGGGGGAAATTGCCTTAAGAACTCAGACTGAATAGCGTCTGTAGATCCAAGGTGAGCGCCTGTCCAAATGGGCTCAGGCCCATAAAGTAACTGTGCTAAGGGTTTAGCTGTAAACACTTCAAGTGCTAATGATATGTGACTGCCACCTTTCATATGGAAAAAGCATGTCAGAATTTTGGTGCTTTGAGAGGCTTTTTCCTTTGCATATTTCTGATGTGCTCCTCATGACCCTGTTGACTGAAAAGTAAGGCTGAGGTATTTAAACACTTTAACTGATTAACCATATACCATCTATGGGCCCTATAGTTTCTTGAAAACACCATGACTTTAGTTTTCTTGTAGTTCACAGCCAACTGTTCTCTTTGGCAGTGCAGTGGTACCTCGGGTTACAGACGCTTCAGGTTACAGACTCCGCTAACCCAGAAATTGTACCTTGGGTTAAGAACTTTGCTTCAGGATGAGAACAGAAATCGTGTGGCAGCAGCAAGAGGCCCCATTAGCTAAAGTGGTACATCAGGTTAAGAACAGTTTCAGGTTAAGAATGGACCTCCAGAAAAAAATTAAGTTCTTAACCCGAGGTACCACTGTATCCTGAGAATGCCCTCACCAATCTTTTCAGGCCCACTTTTGTTTGAGATAGAAGTACCGCATCATCTGCGTATAATAATATAGAGGTGGCGTTTGTGGCCAATTTAGGGGCGTGAGACTCTGGGGATGTTGAACTCTGGACAATATCATTTATATATAAATTAAACAGTGCAGGAACTAGGATACAACCTTGCTTAACTCAAACTCAGTGACAAACTTATATGCAAATCACAAGATTGCAATATAATCTATCACACTGCCTCCATGCTTTGCAAAGTGGATATATTCCCCAGGCCGATCTCCCTTTATTGCACCATTTAATATTAACAAGTCCCTCTGCCTCACAACTTGGGCTAAACAAAGCCCTAAATAATTACATTTATGATCTTTAGACAAATGGGAGGTACCTCTGGCTAAGTAAATATCTGGTTCCAGAATCTGGTTGTAATTGGTGCTGTTTCGGACACGACTAAACAACTAAACAACAACAACAAGTTCATCAGCTGTTTATTATCCTGCTTTGAACACCAACCTGCTATGTTCCATGATATCAGTTTTAGCCCCAATTCCTTTAAGGCTCTGTGCTTGTTGCTTCCACTTTGTCCAGATACCCAATTTCATCTTTAAAAATGCTTCCATTCATCTTATCAATGGGAACCCATTCAACAGCGTTAGTATCCTCGGGTGAAGACTACCTATTTCATTTGGAACTAATTTCCGATAGCTCAGCCAGGAATTCAGTCACACCGCCAGGATCGTCCCTCCCCATATCATATTCCAAGAGGGGTTGACTGGATGGAACTATCCAGCACAGTCTCATTTTCTGCCCTAACATACTGGAACTGGTGCAATTCATTTTGAACTGGTAGACAGTAGAAATACAAGTATTTTACAAAAACTCTCTGCCTTTTTAATCATGTGACCAGACCAAGATGATGCAGCTAAGCCAATTCTTTCTTTCTTTGTTTTTTGTTCTCTTAATATATGCTTCAATAATATATGCTTCAATTCAGCTTGCCCCCTGCAAAAACTATCCATGCAACTGGATTTAAGTTGCATCTATTAAATACAAGAGTCTTCGGCAACATGCAATTGTGTATGTGCATGTGAATGCCTATGTCCACTTCAGGCCATGATCCTACTGTAAGTGTGAAAATAAGGGTATTTCAAGTACACAAGGGTTTTGTCTGTAATATGTTAGAGGCCGCACAACTTTTTCTGTATTTTTTCTTTCTTTCTTTCACTGGTTCTTTTTATTTCAGGGTTTTGTCTGATCAAGACCTTGGAGATGTTCCTGAACCCCCCACAATGCTGTAGTCAGCACTGTTGAAAATTGCTGGCCTGAGATATATTGTCAGAGATATTTCTAGTCCTTTAAAGCCTATTTAAAATATCCTGTTCCATTGAAGTAAGCAACATTGCATTTCTCTTAAAAGTTGAATGACTATGTACATGATATGTATTGAATTTCAGGAAGTCTGGAACCCAATTGTCATCTATGCATGAAACCAATACAGCTTGGCTACAGTAATGCCAAATGGAGCTGCCTTTGAAAAGCATTTGGAAGCAGACACATCTTGTCAGGCGTGGACAGCTGTGTATATTCCCTCCAACATTTCTCTGATGAAAATAGGGACATCCTATCCATATTATTATTATTATTATTATTATTATTATTATTTGCTGGCAATCTGACTGGGTTGCCCCAACCACGCAGGGTGGCTTCCAGCATATATAAAAGCATAACAAAACATTAAACATTAACAACTTCCCTGTACAGGGCTGCTTTCAAATGTATTCTAAAGGTCGACTTCCGGGTCAGCGCCATCGGTGAATGGCGGAGTTCCTCCGACCGGAGGAACGGGCTCCGTGGAAACTGGGTCTTCCCACTGCGGCGAAGGTGGGGACCCGCTAGAAATCCCAGGCGGAGGAAGACTGGGAACGTGGGGTTCGGCAGGGCACCATTTAGGGGCTCCGGAGCGAAGTGGGGTGAGTGGCGCGGTGCTGCGAACTGATTGCTATTTTCACGGAGTGAAGCCACACAGCCATTGCCAGAGAGCGCTGACTTTTTCCTGTGGACAATTGGACTTAAAACAAGTACCCGTGAGTAGAAACGGAAAATTGGATTAAGAAATATCTCAATTTGGCATTGAAGCGGGAAGGTTCAAAACAGGAAGTCCGCCTTCCGCTTTTTGTATATAGACTGAAGCAAAAACTTTGTAAGCTAAAGCCTGGAAAGCTGTTAAAAAAGTCTAAATTTCCTTCATTCAGAATTACTGAAACCCCCTTGGAAGCAGGAGAAAAGGGGGGGGGACTTTGTTCAACCCTAGCAGGAGAGGGAGTGAAGAAGGATAAGTTTCCACTGTCTCTAACCTGGGAACGGGGTGTCAGAGACAGAAATTGTTGGAGAGGTTCATCGACTGTGAATGGAACACTTTGACAGATAGCTAAAGAAGAGAAACAAACTGATTCCAATGTTGCCTTTTGCATTCTAAAGAAACAAAATATCTGAAAAATATCTGAAAAATGAAAGTAATTTTCCTTTGTTGAACTTGCCTTAAAAAAAAAAATGGATACAAATAGAAATTGTCTCCTCTAGAGGGAGCTGGTTAAATTGCTGCTGCAGTATACTTGAGGACTCAACAGCTGTGAGATTAAGATCGTGGGACCAGTCTCTTCTGACCTTGACTAAAGATGAGCTGGGAGGAAGATTGGGTGCTTGCTCTATGCAAGACAAGTGCCTTGCTGGAACAGATGCATGAGAAGATGGATTTGATGAATGAGAAAATGGATTTGATTACTGTTGTGGTTAATAACTGTGGACAAACAGGGAACATTGATACAGAAATTATTCAGGAACCAACTCATGAACCTGTACTGTCTGGGCAAGTGCAGAAGATAATGGAGGAGGATGCGGTTGCACCTCAAATAATACAAATGGAGAGACCCGAGGCCCTACAGGAGCATAAGCCGCTGTCACTGAAGATTGAAGTTGGAGTGGGCCAGGGGGAGTTTGGAGCTGAGGAGGTTCTTAACTTTGGAGAGACCTGGAAATATGCTTTTAAATACTTTTTAGACTATAGCAATGACTGTGGGGAGTGGGTCTGTGGGGAATGGGCGGGTTTGATGAAGAGAGATGGAGATAGTTTTGGGTTGGAATTCCCCAGAAACCTACTCCTCAATGAGAAAGGAAAGAAATTAAGAAAGAGACCAACAAAAGACAAGGAAAAGGGCAAGTATAAACAACAAGAAGAAGAACTGCAAAAGGGACATGGAAGAGACTTAAGGGCCTCGGACATAAGGCTTCCAGGTTGATGGACTAGATGGAATAGACAGTAAGGACTGACACGATCCGAGACCAGGAAGAAGAGACGTTGGATGAAGATTGGAAAAAATTATAAATAAAAACTTTCTATTTGGGGAATTAGTTTAAAATTAATGAATATTAGGAAAATGTTGGAATGAAACTATATGACTCTAGCAGAAATGATATCAGGAGTTATGTATATTTGAAAACTAAGATTTAAGCTTTAAGGTATTTTAGGGTAAGATAAGGTTAAATAAACTAAGGTAATTTGAATAACAGAATATGGGGAAAGATGGAAAGGATTTGTTGAGCTAATTATTAGGTTAAATTGTTAAGATAAATTTTGTAACAAAAATTGAGAAAGATGGAAAGAATTTGCTGAAATAACTAGTTGAACTGGAATGCAAGAAGGGAGGTGTGAGGAGGTCAATGAAACAAGCAAATGGAAGTTATAGATATGTAATTTGGGATTTGTGGGGGTTTTTTCTGTCTTCCTTTTTTCTTTTTGCTGTACTGTTGTACTGGTTTTTATGTTTTCTTTTTTCTCTTTTTTATGTATTATTGTGTTGTTTTTTATTTATTTATTTATTTATTTATTTTTTATTTTCTATAATTCTGAAACTACTAATAAATATTATTTTCTTTAAAAAAATCAAATGTATTCTAAAGGTTACTTATATCCTTGACTGCAGGGTCAAATAACTCCCTACCCTCCAACATTTCTCTGATGAAAATAGGGACGTCCTGAGGAAAAGTGGGACATTCTGGGATCAGATCAGAAATCAGGACGGCTTCTGTAAATCTGGGACTGTCCCTGGAAAATAGGGACATTTGGAGGGTCTTGTGTACATGAGACCCAGGAAGCTTGTGATTGCTCAGAAGTGGCATTCAGGAATTCTCCTTTTTATATTGTTATTTTTTCCTTGAATCAACACTATTCTCTCTCTGGTTCCAGAGACAGATTCAGATACTCAGATAAGCAAGCTACAGGTTCAATATGATGGTAGTTTCTAGGAGTGAGAATCTCAGGCTCCCTAACTTTAAAACAAAGACTCCACACTTCTTTTTGCAGCTTTAGCTGCCCAGGCACCTTCTCCACTTGCCACAGTTCTCTGCAAATGCAAACCTCTACATAACATTTTATGCACATCAAATTTTTACATCTATTTTATTTTTATTTCTTTAAAAAGATCTATTCATGCTTTAGCTCCTTTTTGTCTGTCTTTTCACATTATCCTCACTTGGTTGATACTTTCCACTTAGCTAAGCTTGGTCCACTTCTCTCCAAGCAAGTTACTTGATTCCAAGAGGAATCACACAGCAAGTGTTTTATGATTACCTGGTGCGCGTAAGTGTATGTTTTAAGTTTTTCTTTATCTCATTTGTTACTTTATGACATATACAACAATGGCTACTACAGTACTGATCCTATTCCAATAAACTAAGCCTGCTTCACATCCACCACCAGTTCTCATGCCATCTACCACCCACTACCCAAACTCCAACTCCATCCTCAACTGAACTGACTCCAAACTATCTCACCTCAGTCACTAAGATTACCTTTGAAGACTCCCATCCAATCACCACTCACTACTAATATTCCAAACTCTCTCACCCTTCCCACCTAACATTTACCTTAAGTCCTCCAATATACTGACCTATACATTCACCTTAATTACTCTAATAATGCATGTGCATACAATATTATGTACAAAAACAGCAGAAGCTCACAGTGCCCATGGCACTTCCTTGAAATGACAAATGTGGCCCATGAGCCCCCAAAAGTTGGGGGTCCCTACTAGAGCATTACCAAGGATGAATAGCTTGCCTGCTGGGGCCCATGATCCTTGCATGAAAGAGGTGGGTAGGCCTCCCCCCGAGGTAATGGTGAGGCAGAAGGCCCTCCAGTAAAGGCAATGTCCCCCCACTCACTGTGCACATATGCAAGGGGATAAGATGAGCCCAGCGTTTGTACTAAATTGATTAGCATTGGGCAACTGAAAACCTACCTATATTTATACAGTGGTGCTATGATGCATAACATCAGATGCACGTATATGCTAAATTCTGAACTGATACCTCTACAACCAAGAATCCTAGAGCAAGGGTGGAAAAGAAACATTGCATTCGGCAAGCATTTTAATGGCATTTACAGAAGAAAGCTAAAATAACAGCTCCATGCCCTTTGAATCTCTTTTCTACAATCCTGTAGTTCAGAACTGTGTGCTGCCTGCTTTATGTAGGGTTCACCTAATTTTATACATGCCTTTACATACTGTACACAAAGTTAGATACAGGATTAGTTTAAACTGTTCTGCATTGCACTCTCAGGGGCATATTGAACGCCCACTTACAACCACCATATCAATGCTATTTGGATTTTGACAGTTGTGGATCTCTGTATAAATATCTGAATAAAATGCCACTACAGATTCTAGCCACCGAGAAGCTTTTATTTAGTGTGTAAATCCACAGCTAATGAGCCTTGAAGATATGATTGCAAAATAACAGTCTCCTGCCGTCAAGCTCAACTGCTGGAGTCTATTGTTTATAATTATATAATTTTGCACTATAAGGTGTCCAACAGTCTTAGCTTTTTCTTACCACCCTAGTACTACCAATAATTTCACATTCACAGCCAGCAATATTTTAACTTTGCTTACTCAACTGGCACTAGTGTGCCAGAAGCAACACATACAGTGGTACCTCGGGTTACAGACACTTCAAGTTACAGATGTTTCAGGTTACAAACCCAGAAATAGTACCTCGGGTGAAGAACTTTGCTTCAGGATGAGAGCAGAAATTGTGTGGCGGCAGCAGGAGGGCCCATTAGCCTCCAAAACGAATTAAGTTCTTAACCCGAGGTACCACTGTACTGCCTTTATGAAAAGGAACCGTCTGAGTGCATGCAGCAGGGAACCTGAAAAAAGGTCTGCCTGGGAATCCTCTATGGCAGGACCAGCCCATACATGAGGCAAGGTGAGGCTACCACAGGAGCAGCAAGGAATGCCCCCAAGGAATGCATCACCCACTGCTGCTGCTGTAGTGGCAGCAACGGCTGTGGCACGCTCCTTGGAGGCCAGAACTGCTGTCCCCTCAGCAGCTCCTCCCAGTGCCACCTCCACAGCAGCCTCTCAGTGAGTAGAAGGCGCAGCTGGCCTCCTCCCATGCCTAGGGAGGAAATGGTGGGGGCTGCCCTCTGGGGTCTCCAGGGCTCTGCAGCCACTTCATGCGATTCGGAGCAGGCCCCTTTCCTACCCACAATGGCCTTTGATTCCCAGTTCAACCATTGGATAAGGTTGATCTTCATGCCCCCCCCATTCCTGATTTGATCATCACTCCCTCTTCTTCCCTGCGGGGGGAGCATGTCTTGGACCAGGGGGCAACCTTCTTGCTCAGAGGTGGAGAAACGCATGCTAGTGATGAGCAGGGGCAGAGGCAAGAAGTGGGTGGAGCAATATATGCCTCTTTCACCTTGTATAGCGTGGCATGTTTCAGCCATGCAAAAGCCAGAGGTTTCTACATACACAACTCTCCATCTTCCACCACACTCCAGCCAGGCACGTGAGGAAGGTGTAGAGCAGGGTTGTGAGGGCTCTGTGGCCTAAGGAGAGTGGCATGGCCTGGGCATGGGCGGTGAAGAATTCTGAGAGCCAGAGAGAGGTGCCCAGAGGGTGTGATGGACCTGGGGACCTGAGGTTCCTCACCCGATATAGCTGGTGCACCCTCTCCCCAATCCTGTCACTTTAGGGAGGGAAGTTAATGACCAAAAGGATAGGTTTTGCAGGCATCTGAATGTGTGGTTCTCCCAGTTTGGTCATTCCGTTCTCCCCATCGCAGGGAGGGGAAGAAAGTGTTGGGCCAGCTCTCAAACACTCCACAAAAGGCAATCACAGGTAGTCCTCCCGCCTCCACACACACATCCAAAAAGACCCTGCCAAAAATGTTTGCATGCAACTATAGTGACTTTCATCTATTGCCAAGTTCAAAAAAAGCTCAACATGAAATGTCACTTATTGGGCTGTATGAGACATATATATTACTAGAGTGGATGGGATCCAAGTGAGATAAGTTAAGAGGGGAACTATAAGTTCCATGTAGTTTAGTGATTCTTTCCCTCAGGGGCTTAATTTTATCAGGTAAAGCTTCTGTGAGCTTTTAATCTGTGATGTTTTGTTGTTGCTGCTGTTGTTGTTGTTGCTGCTGCTGCTGCTGCTTTTATGTACTCTGTTGGAAGCTATCCAGAGGGGCTGGGCAACCAAGTTTGATAGGTTGGATACAAAATAATAATAATAATAATAATAACAATAACAGCTATTATTATTATTACCCCTTCATTTCTCTCCTTTCTAGCTGTTCAAAACCACAATGAGCCGCTTTTCTCCTAGAGAAATAACAGATCCAGGCCCCATACCTTCTAACCCTTTGAGAGAAAGAGAGCCGGGGTGGTCTATTTTAAACAGATACATTGCTAGGAAAGAAAGAATTAAACAGTCCCCTCATCCTTGCGAAAACTCGCTTCACATAATAAAAGAAAACCCCTCAGGGGGAAACAGACACAGAGCACCATGCAACAAGCAGCTCTGCCCTGGGAAATACCATTGCTGCCTTTTTCTGCTTCCCTGACTCCTGACAATGGTTTAAGAAATAATTATCTTAAGATCTATGATTGGGCCTAAAGTAACATGTTTTTATGTGTCTGGAATTTAACTGGCTGCATGATGATCTTAAGGAGGAACAAAGAGGCCTCATTTCAGGTCAAATTTGCAGAGTATTGAAACTTCCTGCTGGCAAAATGGTTTTATGACAGACACTCCCTTTTTAGACAGGGGTTTCAAGAATGTGGAGTTAACCAGGGCTATTGACTGTTTGGCTCCGAAGCGCCCTCTCCGACTGCATGGAGCCCGGACAGCCCCGTGGTTTTCCACGGATCTGAGGGCAATAAAACAATTGTTGAGACAGCTAGAGCGCCCGTGGCGGATAACCCATTCTGAATCTGACCGGACACGGGTTAGAGCTCAATGTCGAGCCTACCAAGTAGCGATAGCGACGGCGAAGAAGACTTTCTTCACCGCCTCTATTGCATCTGCGGAAAACAGCAGCAGGAGACTCTTTCAGGTGGTTCGCAATTTAGCGGAACCACCTGCTCCATCAGGGCCCAATACGGGCCACATGATCTCCTGCAATGATTTTGCAAAGTTTTTTGCAGATAAAGTCGCTCAGATTCGAGAAGAGGTAGACTCCACCGTGGGAGCAGGGCCAGGGCGGGAGAGTGCTAGAGTTCTGTCTAGTCAAGTTGTGTGGGATCAATTCCAATCTGTTACCCCCGAGGATGTGGACAGGCTGCTTGGACGAGTGAAACCAGACACCTCTCTCCTTGATCCTTGCCCATCCTGGCTTATAAAAGCTAGCCGGGAAGGACTGGGCGATGGGCTTCGTGGGGTGGTGAATGCTTCCCTCCGTGAGGGAGCCTTCCCAGACCCACTGAAATAGGCGGTTATTAAACCACTTCTTAAAAAACCAACTTTAGATGCGGCCACGATGGCCAACTATCGCCCAGTCTCAAATCTTCCATTCTTGGGCAAGGTGATTGAGCGAGTGGTTGCTGAACAACTCCAGGCATGCCTGGAAGAAGTGGACCATTTGGATCCCTTCCAGTCGGGATTCAGGCCTCATCATGGGACTGAAACTGCCTTGGTCGCACTGGTTGATGATCTCCGGCGGGCCAGGGACAAAGGTGAGAGCTGTTTCCTACTTCTGCTGGATCTCTCAGCGGCGTTTGATACCATCGACCATAACATCCTTCTGTACCGTCTTGAGGGGCTGGGAGCTGGGGGCACTGTCATACAGTGGTTCCGCTCCTTTCTCCTGGGCCGTGTTCAGAAAGTGGTGGTGGAGGATGAGTGTTCAGACCCCTGGGCTCTCACTTGTGGGGTGCCTCAGGGTTCTGTCCTCTCCCCCATGCTTTTCAACATCTATATGCAGCCTCTGGGAGAGATCATCAGGGGGTTTGGGCTGGGTGTTCATCAGTATGCGGATGATACCCAGCTCTACCTCTCTTTCAAATCAGAACCAGTGAAGGCGGTGAAGGTCCTGTGTTAGTGCCTGGAGGAGGTTGGAGGTTGGATGGCGGCTAACAGATTGAGGTTGAATCCTGACAAGACAGAAGTACTGTTCTTGGGTGACAGGAGGCGGGCAGGTGTGGAGGATTCCCTAGTCCTGAATGGGGTAACTGTGCCCCTGAAGGACCAGGTGCACAGCCTGGGAGTCATTTTGGACTCACAGCTGTCCATGGAGGCACAGGTCAAATCTGTGTCCAGGGCAGCTGTTTACCAGCTCCATCTGGTACGCAGGCTGAGATCCTATCTGCCTGCGGACTGCCTTACCAGAGTGGTGCATGCTCTGGTTATCTCCTGCTTGGACTACTGCAATGTGCTCTACGTGGGGCTACCTTTGAAGGTGATCCGGAAACTACAACTAATCCAGAATGCGGCAGCTAGACTGGTGACTGGGAGCGGCTGCCGAGACCACATAACACCGGTCTTAAAAGACCTACATTGGCTCCCAGTACGTTTCCAAGCACAATTCAAAGTATTGGTGCTGACCTTTAAAGCCCTAAACGGCCTCGGTCCTGTATACCTGAAGGAGTGTCTCCACCCCCATTGTTCTACCCGGACACTGAGGTCCAGCTCCGAGGGCCTTCTGGCGGTTCCCTCACTGCGAGAAGCTAAGTTACAGGGAAGCCAAGTTACAGGGAACCAGGCAGAGGGCCTTCTCGGTAGTGGCGCCCTCCCTGTGGAACGCCCTCCCACCAGATGTCAAAGAGAACAACTACCAGACTTTTAGAAGACATCTGAAGGCAGCCCTGTTCAGGGAAGCTTTTAATGTTTGATGTATTAGAGTATTTTAATATTTTTTTTGGAAGCCGCCCAGAGTGACTGGGGAAGCCCAGCCAGATGGGCGGGGTACAAATAAATTATTATTATTATTATTATTATTATTATTATTATTATTATTCCAGCTTCAGGAACATTTGGAGGATACAATATATGGATTCATGACAGTCCTGCTTTCAGGGTGCGGTTGTGGCATTGAAACTGCCTTGGTCACCCATGTTGATGACATGGGTGAGTGTGACCTTACTTGCTCTTCTTGGGCTCTTGATACCATTGTGGCTTTTGATACCATTGACCATGGTATCCTTCTGGAGTAGCTCAAGGAGGAGTACTCCAGGGTGTTCTGTTCCAACCTGCAGGGATGTTTCCAGAAAGTAGTTGCATTTAAAGTAAGGCTGAATTCTTTCCTCACAAAACTGAATGGGATTTCTGCTTCTTTCAGGAGGCAGTGGGTGAATTTCACTGAACTTTTTGGTGGAGGAAGAGTTTGGCTTACCTTGCTGAGGTTCTCCCCCCCCCTTCTCTTTTTGGACTTTGAAGAAAGACCTCATACAACAGCACAGTACAGGTGCACGGCATGCTGGAACCACCTGACCCTGCCATATTTCCTGCTAGAATATCAGTGGGAATGTGGCAGTGTCAGGAAGTTTTTGGATGCCTTACAACTGCTCTGGATGGCCACACAAGGTTATTTTGCTCCAGGTGATGGCTCCAGAAGAATGAGTGTCTTTGTCCAAATAGGACATTCATAGCAAGAGCTCAGGTTCCCACAAAGAGAGTCAAGGGCAACAAAGGAGGGTCAAGCAAAGCAAGGCAAGGCAAGGCAAGACAGACCAGGTCCAGTTTCCAATAAAGAAGGGGAGGGGAAGTGGACAGGGACCAGAGCTACCACCAGCCCTCTCTCTTAGATATGCACCCATCCTTTCAAAGTGATTAAATAATGCAAACCCATGTAACTATATGCAGGGAGAGCGTTCTGCTCCTCATGAGCCCTACCCAACAGACACCTATCCAAACATTACTGCAGTAGCTACACTACAGCTTGAAACACAACAGAAACACAGGCTTAGCAGGACACAAAAACCACATGTGTAGTGTAAGCGATGACAACTGTACAATGCGGCTTCTGAAAACACATTGTCTGTACACAGCCAGAATCTCTTCAGAAGGCAAAGAACAGAGTGCTGAATGGACAGCGGCTTATGAGCAAGCCTCCAGAGGCTGCAGCAGCCTCACAAGCTCCCTGAGGGTGGGAATGCTGTGCCAAAGATGAGCAGCCAAGCGGACTTGAAACACTGTCTTGCTGGAATCAGACCAAAATGTCCATCCAGCTCAGCGTGGCTTCCATTGTCAGGCAGCCAGGTGCCTCTGACAAGCAGAGCAGGAAGGCAACAGTCCTGTACTGTTTGCCATTAGCATCCAGAGCTCAAGAGTTATACTGCATTTGTGCAACTTAGCTATCATGTTTCTAAGAGCTGTGGAGAGAGTTATCCTCCATGAATAAATCTGTTCCTCTGGCCATCCATGCTGGTGGCCTCCCCCGCACCTAGTGAATTGCTCCATCATTGTTATAATGGAAGCTCCTGGGAAAGGGAGCTTAAGAATACAGTATTTCTGTATCCATTTCCCAGACCTCAGCAGTCAACAATATATAGCATTTCTGTTATTATAGCGAGATGAGGACTAGATGAGGAGGACGTCCCTGAGCTCAGTAATCTCATGCTGTTGCACTTGAAACAAGGAGGGGATTTTCCCAGCTGTTTGTCCTGCCCCCTCCCCATGCAATTTCTCACAGCCCACCAACTTCTTATCTATATACTAATACGGATCTGAGGTTTTCCACGGCAATGTTTACAAAGTTTAAACCATACCACCAACACACAAGAGAGAAGTACCAGCAGACTCGCAGTAAACTTAAGGAACACACACACACACACACACACACACACACACACAAAATCTGTGGGGGGGGGTGGAGAGGGGACCCCAAAACAGAACTATAAAAAGCTCAGTGGCATGGAGTATTGAGACACAACTGAGGGGGAGTGGGGAAAAGAACAGAGTGGCTGGAACAGGAGGACAGGAAAGCACACATACATATAGGGAAGGGAAACAAAGAAGGGGAAGGATAAGATGTTTATAAAATGACAAATTGCATGGAGAAAGAGTGATGTTTCATCCCCTCTCAGAACTATGGAACTAGTGGCCACCAATTACAACTGATAGGCAGAAGATTCAGAACTGACATAAGGAATAATTGGCATTTTAGAATTTACTGTCATACCGGTAAGTTGTTTTGCTGTTTGTTTGTTTGTTGTTTTTAAAGCACAGATAAATATATGTTTGGTGGCAATTAGCCATGATATTTAGGTGAAACTGAAATTTAAAGATCCGTGTTGGACGCAGAAAAGCTTCAGCGGCAATTTCACCACAAAGGTCAGACAGATTTGCAACAAGGGTCTGGTTTACAAAGGAGCCAAACCAAACATTTAATGTGTTGGGGTTTTTTTACTTAACAGAACAGCCTCTGTGTGGAGGGGAGCTTATAGCTGCAAGAATCACAGCAGATATGAAGGGGGATTTAGCCCTTTCCTCGCCTGCTCCCAGTTCTCAGGAAGAATCCCACTTTTGAAGCTATTGCTTGGATTGGGAGGAAATACCCCACATCCAAATTTAACAGTCTTATCCAGCTTGGGTTCTTCTAAGTACAGAAAGTCCTTGAGTGCTCATGGCACCTCTCAGTTTGAACAACCACTGTAAGCATTAATGACAGGAGAGCCCCAATGTTGTTGCTTGCAGCCGATGAGAGGAAGAGTAGGAAAGGCCAAAGAAAAATAGTGAATCAGTGGGCAACTCTGCTTTTCTTTACTCAGGGCAAGGGAAGAGTTGGAACACTCAATGGGCACAAAGGATTATGTGAACAGATGGAAGTATTATGAATACAGCAAGACCATACAGTTGCCACGAGCTGAAGATGTCATTATAAAAATATTCCCTGAACCATCAAACAAGCATCCAGTTCTCTATGTAGTAGCTATTTTTGGTTCAAGGACAACTAGCACCTGCAATTGTTCTTCAGAACGCTTTCAACAACAACTATAATTCATGTTACATCTATATATATAAACACCCTGCCATCGCCACTGTTCTAGTATCAAGTAGCATTGTTTTAATGTTTGCCCTGATACAGCTCTGAAGGGCAGCAACAACTGTGCAGAAAAACAATGTGGAGTTTCAACTGCTCATGCATGGCAAAAAAGAAAAAGGTGCTTTATATTATGAAACACTATATACCCACGGCCTCTGTTGAGCAGAGCAACACCACTCTAGGCAGTGCCTGAGCATTACTTTCAGACTTCTTAAATTAGTTGTGACCTTTAAAGTCTGAAGTAATGTATATTGCTCTAATGTTTAATTGTTAGGGTCAGGAAAAAGAAAAGTATACCACTTTTTTAAAGACGTCCCCCCACCCATGTTCTTAAGAAAATACAATGCGCCACAATTGTCCATGTGGAGATGAAGGAGGCCAACTACTTCTTAATAACTACACAAAGCAAGCAAGTTCCCAAAATTAACAAGAAGTTGAAATTCACAACTGGCATTTGTTTTGCCCTTACTTTCTAAAAGGCATATATATGTTGCATATTTAATTTTGCTTAATACTATAATGTGTTTGTGTGTATTAGTGTTTGTAAAAAGGTTTTTTATTAATTATGTAGAAGAAAAACAGTATCAAAACATTTTTATTTACATGTACAAAATACAGTATTTTGGTGGGAAATATTTAAAAGTATATCTGTATATGTTGAGTGGCAATTAAGAGTTCAAAGAGCATATTTCCTCACATCTGAGAATTTTAATTTCTTTACACACACAGTGAGGACAGAGTTCACCAGTTCCTTCATTCCTGGAGCAGGCATTCCACATTCACCAGAAACATGAACAATTACCAAGCCCTGACCAATCATCTGTTTTGTATGATGGGATGGGGAAAATTAAACAGAGAATAATTGAAGGTCATCCCAGTTAACTTGTGAAACACCTAGGCTGCAATCTTAACCCAATTTACCTGGGAGTAAATACCACTGAATTCAATAGGACTTACTTCTGAGTAGACATGTTTGGGCTTGCAACGGTAATTGTTTAACTGTGGTGTAGTTGACTGATGTCAAATTTACAGTCCCCTTCTGGGAACTTTGATTCTTTGCAGGTAGGTTTTGGGACCCTAACACAATCATCTGCACCTTCATTTCAGTTGCATTTATCAAAATACTAGGAGGGAAATCATGATAATTAAATGGATAAATAAAACCACTATAACATTTGTAGTGTAGATACTGCTAAGAAACAATTACATTTATTTATTCTTGTAACAATAAAAGTAATTTTAGAAAAAACTTTTCTAAGTCAGACTAATTTCTTTTGAATCATTCTCTAAACTCCTACTATAAATAGCTTCACTTTGGTTGCACCCAAATGTTAACTGGCATGATTCCAATTAAGGAAGAGAAAAGTTCTTGAAGTTCTTCGTGCTTTTCATCCTTCCTGTTCTTCTCCAAACAGGTTAACCAGTCCTTTTAGTAGCATTTTTTAAAAAAATAAATTAAAAATACAGCTGTCTGATTTGCAATATGCATAAAGTTCTCTATACTGGTGTACTTTGGAACCCGGCGTGAGCATTATCCGAAGGTGGAGTTGTGGAACTTCCAGCCCATGGCAGCTTTGGGTCCCATCCTTAGTCCCTGCACCTCCACCCCCACTCCTGTCACTGCAGCAACTGGATTTACAAAAACAGCTGTGATGCAACACTTCTGCATCGCCAGGCAGCATCAACTGAAAATGACCCCAGAGTTGGGCAGTGATGGATGCTTCATTTGGGTTTGTTGTGAAAACTGTGCTAAGTCAAGGGACATTATCCTCAAAGGTTTTGGGCAAAAAGGTCACAGGGGATTTCTGAGGGATTGCAGGGCTCCCTCCACTGTAGCAGGTGTTAACTATACCCACACCACCCAAAATACGTTCTGCCGCAGGACCACCTGAGGATGCACTGGAGGCTTTCTTCCACTGCCTGCAACACCACACAGCAAGCATCATTATGCACTCTAGCACACATTTAGTGTTCCAGCCATTGCTCAGCCTGTTCCATTGTCTGCTGGCCCCTGAAGCACCAGGAGGCAAAACAGGCTCCACAGCACCAGAGAGGGTACTCAGGACTGGGGCAACGGTGCTAATGGTCTTTGCAGCCTGCTATTCCACAGCGAGAGTAGAGTCACAACAGGATCACCTGCCTGATCCTCTGGAAAATCTCTCCCGTGTGTTCAGGAATCCACTGTCTTTCATTAGGCTCCATCTCTGGAGGTAGGCCACAAATGATACAACATATGTGTTTGGTAATTTGGTTTCATTCAGTCTCACTCTGCAGAGTTTTGTAGAAGAAGTATTTTATAAGGTGTCATATTTTCCTTACTAAAGAAACACAGGATGCATTCATCAAAACTGTTACATGAACAAATGCCTGGGCTGCTTATATCAGGTTACAAATTGTCTTTTCAGACTAGTAAAGTCCTGCTAAGCATTCAGTGCACTGGATGAAGACAAATGGCAGAAGCTGACACAAATTTCTGGCAACGCATACAGTGGAATACAAAAACCCTGTTAAACTCTATTACCCAAGAGTAATAAGATTATTAATAAAACATTTAAATATAGGATTTTTTTCACACTAGTCCGATGTATTATTTGTCAGCTTTGATGGATGTACTAAGATATCAAGATGACTACAAAACACAAAAAAGTAAGTTGGACATACACATAATTCATTGCAATTTTGAAAAGAAAAATCAACTTATTGAAGAGCAATCCAAACTACCAAATCTGCCAGCTAGAGGGGTTAGGAGAGGTGGATCACACACACACACGCCAGCAGAGAGGGGATTTGCCAGCAGAAAACTCATATGCTGGTGGAACCACATCTGAAAACCAGTTGCTGGAAACAGGGCTGGCCCAATACATTTTGGCACCTGAGGCAAACCACAAAATGCCCCCCTCCAGCCAAGAAGGGGTGAGTGAAGATCTACATCAAGATCCGGGGGAGGGGGATAAAGATCTATAACAGGAACAGGGTGGGGGAGACCAGCAGCACCTCCTCTTTGCCAAGAGGCCACTGTAAATGGGGGGGGGGCTGCTGAGGAGGAGGCAGATCCGTCTTCCAAGAAGCGTGCAGTCATTGGCGCCACTGGGCAGCAGCAGTGGGCAATGCATTACTTGGAATCAGGATCTGCTGTCCCTGTGGATCCTGCCGCCTGAGGCAGTCACCTCACCTTTCCTCATATGAGGGTTGGTGCTGACTGGAACCCACAGAATGGGAGAGTGCGCTTGTGCTCAAATCCTGTCTGCAGATTTCTCACAGGCATCTGGTTAACCACTGTGAGAACAGGGTGCTGGACTAGACAGGGCTGATCCAGCAGGGCATGGCAGCTCACAGCACTGGGCGGATAAGAAGAGAGGGCGGGAGGGATCTAACTGAAGGGCTCCAGAAGAGCCATGGTGGGTGTCAGGTAAGGGGCAGATCAGCACATGGAAACCGCAGAGGCGAGATGGATGGCAGCGCAGGGCAGTCAATGGATGGAGAGAGAATGGGTGCAGCAGCAGCAGCAGCAGCAGCAGCAGCAGCAGCGGAGACAGCTCTGGAGGGTGAAAAGGTGGACTACACATGCATTAAGCAGCCAGCCTTCAAGAACAGCCTTCTGTGAACTGCTCATATTTCACTCAGTATTTCAACACTGGGCTACTACATTCCATGAGCATTGCCGGGTAAGACATGCACTTTGATTAATGTTTCTGCAGCTTTTACTAGAATGAGCTACAAGAAAAATGTACTGCTTGTCTTTCACAGCATTTTATCTACAAAATAACCTTCAGGTTCAACTATGGAAAACTATGCTGTTGCTGAAACTAAGCAGTTCTGGCCAAATTGGGCTATCTAACAAGAAGAAGCTGCTGCTCTGAGCTCCTTGGATAAGGAGTTGTGCATAGTGTGTGACAAACAGCAGCAGCTGATGCCTCCAAAAGTGGGGCAGTGGCAGCACTACAAATTTCCCCAGACTTTGTTACGCTGCTTCCCAAAGATCCTCCTCCCTACTGTGTCCCAGTTCCGCTTATGGATGCCCCATCTGACAGCTATGATAGGTAAATGAAAATCATGTTCAATAAATGACAGACAAGAGGAGAGTCGTAATCTTCACATCGTCATGCTTATCTTCCACACGCACATCTTCCATAGGCATGTGGCTGGAAGCCATTTGAAATAGGATGTTGGACTAGGTGGGCCTTGGTTGCGGTGCATCAGGGATCTTATCATGCTCTGACGCAAACCCTACTCCTATTCCTCTGTCCCACTTGTATTCAAAAAAAGTTTTTCTTTTTCACCTCTGAGCTCCCTCCCGACAAATTTCTGTCCCATAACACAAATCCTTCTTCTTTCAAAAAAACATTTCCCCCAATTCTTTCCCAAAAAGGAAATAAAAGCTTTTTGCCTCTCACTCATGCCAGCTCTGCCTGTTTCCCCTCCACTCTTGTTTTTCTCACCAAGTTCAGTTGTGGCTCAGACCTGCAATACCTCAAGGACTGTCTCACTGCTTCTACCTGGATGAACCAATGAGAGCATCATCTAAAGCCCTTGTGTGCCTCCTCCATGAGAGGTCCAGAGGGTGGCAACACAAGAATCAGCCTTTTCTGCGGTGGCTCCCCACTTATGGAAAGCTCTCCCCAGGGAGCCTCACCTGGCACATTTGTTACATATATTTACAATGCCTTCATTAGACATACCCGTTTAACTCTCATGGCTTCCCCTACAGAAGACTGGGGATTTAAATTTGGCTTTTAGCTATCCCTAGCCCCTCCACTTCTGAAAACAACCCTCCTATTCCCAGGAATCTCTGAAGGGAGAACCAATTTACGGTAAACATACCCATAGCCTGGTACCCATAGCCTGTTTTATGAACAATGCTCCTAGAGATCAGTTCCAATCCAGCAGAAAATATCCACTTATTTAACTGGATAGAGGAGAGGAATAACAAAAATGCATTAATGACTGACATATATAATGAAGTCTTTTTCAACACTCAAAAACATTCAGCTTCCTAACACTCCAAACTACAGGCTTTTGTAAAACACTGGGTTTTGTTTCCCATAAAAGGATCAAAAAAGCTCTTTGCCTCCTTAGCGTCACCATGTTTGGCAGTGCTGTTACAGAAATAATTCATCACAACAAATTAAACCAGTAACTTACCAGTCCAGGATCCTGCTTCAGTTCATTCTTTAGGAACCAGCATCGTGCTGAACGTTTGTTGTGGTGCAGTGCTCTGTGTAGTAGAGAAGGAATGGGCCTTAGCTGAAAGAAGAAAAAGAGCCATCAAACACTAGCTAGACTTTTAGACAATACTTCACCAACTAGTTATCCGGACCAGATATTGCTTTGTAGCAGCAGAAGGAATACACTAATTGGAAATGTCCCAAACCTGTCAAAATTACATATGCAAAAGCACTTCTTAATGGACTGCAATTCTCCAGGGTCTCTGGTCTGCCCAGTATTGTGGGGATGATTAGGGAGGCAGGAGAGGATATATTATTTAATAATATCCTTCCTAACTTGCGCTAGCAAGTTCCATATTCTAGCAGAGTTCCAAACATCCCCCTTTTTAAATTACGCAGCGATCAGCTTGTTGCTGGATCATCTGAGTCTTACTATTAAAGATTCCTTCCTGGTAAAATCCCTTCTGATCCCTCTTAAAAAAGAATAAACACAAGAATCTGATTCATGTTAATATAAAAGTACAGTAGTTTACTCACAGATTCATTCGGGTTCACAGACATATCCCTGAAGGCAGGCTTAGGTTACATAACAACTAGAACTATTCCACGAAAAAGTGAGTCCCAAGTGACTGCGACTAAGCAGTCACTTCTCCAAACACACAGCAACATCCAAAATGGAGAAGACACACTGATCCGAACATGGAGGCTGTGTGCTCCTCCATGTAGTGGAAGTCTGTCCCAGCTCAGAAGTCTTCTCCTGAGTGGTACAAAACATCCCCTAACATGTCCACTGTAGGAATGTTGTACTTGACTGCACTTTTACATCCCACAAGTATATCCAGAAGGAAAAACTAAAGCAAGATGTTAAACTAGCCATGAATTGAAAACCAGACTGAGCCAACCACATTTCCCCTTCAAACTGGAATAGAATCTAAATAATTATTGAAAGTCAGTTGAACCTGAATTAGAAGTTAACCAAAAAACAAACCCCAGTCTATTGATTCAGAAACAGATGCAGTGTTTTAACATTTGGTGGTAAATTGACGGGGTCAAGCAGAAGCTATAATGAGCGCTTAAAATCAGAATTTGGGAGTTGGTCTCATTAAGACTGCAATCTACTGTAACTTGCTAGGAAGTCATGAGACAGGTGAAAAAAAGACAACATTTTTGTGTACTTTAAAGTATATTACCCATGTGGCAGTGCTCAGCTAGCATCTATAGCTTTTTGCTATTGTTTATTATTGTTTCTTAACATTTGACCTAAAGGCTTGCATATGCAACAGCCCTTAGACTGCATCTTAAATGGCTGGGGGAGGGGGTGGCTGTTGCATCCTCCTCGCACCATGTTCCCCAGATCCCAGCCTTCCAAGACTGCCCGGGGATGCTGGCATGGGGATGTGGCAGTCGTGCGCCCTTCAGTCCCAACCTTACCTCTGCTGGCGAGGCTGGGGTCAAGAGGTGCGTGCCTGTTGCACTCTTCTCATGCCACCCTCCCCAGATCCGCAGAGGGCAGCAGGAGGCAGCGGGGCAGGGCAGGCACAGTGGGTACTGTTTGTCCTCTGCCCCTCTCCTTGCCCCTCTCTCTCTTTCACACACACACACACACACACACACACACACAGGTGCCAGTGAGACACACTCTGCCTCTGCGTTAGTGAACATTCTGTAGCTGACATGCATATAATATATTCACTTTGTATTTGAGCACCATTAGTCATTTATAAGACATGTGTTGGACACATGTTATATGAAGTTAGGAGGCTCTCCTGGTAGTCATCAAGTTTGTTGTCAGTTTGGCGCTAGGTGTTGACCTTTTTTGTTCTATTGGATATTTTGGATATACTAGTTTTAGTCAATTTAAACCTAGAATTTTTGTCTGTTCCACTGCTTGCTGTTTTGTGATTCTGTTATTTTTATTGTGTAAAAACTAACAGCCTTATACCTGGCATTGAAGAAGAGAAGAAGAAGAGTTTGGATTTGATATCCCGCCTTTCACTCCTCTTCAGGAGTCTCAAAGCGGCTAACATTCTCCTTTCCCTTCCTCCCCCACAACAAACACTCTGAGGTGAGTCGGGCTGAGAGACTTCAGAGAAGTGTGACTGGCCCAAGGTCACCCAGCAGCTGCACGTGGAGGAGCGGAGAAGTGAACCCGGTTCACCAGATTACGAGACTACCGCTCTTAACCACTACACTACACTGGGATTGCTCAGGAATTCTAAGAAAACAAAAGATTAGTTCTGTTATGAAAAGTCCATTCCACCATCTTGATTCAAAATGGTGTCCAATTGCATTCAAGGAAAGGTGAAAACCTGCTTCTTGATCTCAGGAACCATAATGCAAAAGTTGGTTACAACCTTAAGAGGTGCCCAGATGCCAACAGACAAAATAATTTCCTATAATATCTTGTAGATAGTAACTGTTAAAAACACTTAGCAAGCATTCTTAGGATGCAAGACTATATATATATATATATACACAATTACATAGGAGCAAGTTGCTTTGAACCCAAAAAGGCATACTTCTGAATAGGTATGTACAGGATGGTGCTCTTTAAAATTCACAAATAACAAAAAATAAATTCTGTCTGATGGTATACTTTTCCCTTCTTCACTTTGGTTTGCTGCCTATCACCCAGTCAGTGTTCCCTGGGGAAATTTGTCTTTGGTTCAATTCACAGCTGTCCTTTCTCTCACTACCTTTGCACTGATTGTGAGTGCTCAGACCCCATCCCTAGATTTATATACCTGCCAAAATCAATTGCCATTCCCCCACAATGTTCTGATCTTTTCCCACACTTCCCAGCCATAATTTTTCATGCATATGTCTCCTTCTTTATTCCCAATGCAGCAAACTTCTTTTATTTCTCTATACTTGTTCAGAAACGTTGGCATGTTTTCAGGTATCTACTTTCCTTTCTTTGTTTTAGTCTACAAAATCTTCAGATTATATATCCAAATGATAGTTTGACACATATTGACCTGAGATTGGCAGAATGGAAAGTCACTGTCGGTAAACCTCACCCCTATATCACCCCAACTGCAATATGTGGACAATAATACTGACCTACCTTAAGGAGTTGTTTGAATTAGTCAGGATTTTAATAATGGGCTATATAAATACGCATCATCATAATTTGTTAAAAATTATGGGTAGTAATCATCTAAGTTTTACTCAGAGTAGATACACAGAAATTAATGAAACTGACAAAGTTGTGCCCATTAATTTCAATGTGCCTACTATGAGTAAAACTTACTTGACTATCACCTGCTAAGTCACATGTCTCACTCTTTGAATGCCAGTTCCAATTCTAAGTTTACCGGCTTTTTGGCACATACAGATTTAATATACTAGTCATGGGTGTAGCCAAGAGGGGGCAGGGAGGGGCAATTGCCCCCCCATTAAGAAAAATCAAGAAAATATGTAGCTAACTGAGGTTCTTCCCCCCCAAACAAAAATCCTGGCTACACCCATGATACTACGTCTATGTTCCTATCTCACTTCAAGGTTAAGACTGCAATCCTATTCTCACTTACCTGGGAGGAAGCCCACTGCAAAAACTTATTTCTGAGTAGACATGCATGAAACCCATTAAACAACCACTGGTGGTCTCAACTCCACAGTTAATGTGGTTAGCCCATACCTGCATTGTTATACTTGTTACCATGGCAGCAGGTACCTGTTGGGATCCCATCCCCACAGACACAGCTATAGCTGTTATGCTAGGAATTGTGATATCACAAGCCAAGTACCTGTTAGTCTGACCTGCTGGGTTCCTACCTCTCTCCACCTGGCCCAGGGTGGGGTATTTTGGGGAAAGTTTTGTCGGGACTTTTTGCTGTTACCGATATTAATTTTTTGTATCTTTTTTTCATGTGGAAATTGTTCAGTTTGGTTATGTAGTTTTTGATGTGTTTTATTTATTTATATGACTACTTTGCTATGTTTGTAACTATGTAAATCTTTTCATATTGTAAGCCATTGTTTGAACTGTGGAAAGGCGGCATACAAATAAAATGATGATGATGTTGATGATGCTGTTAGCAGCAATTATTTCTTTTTTTTAAAAAAAATGATATTGAGAATTTTAAGATTACAAAGAAACAAAGAAAAAAAAGAAGGAAAAAACAAGTAACAATTAAACAATACAAATCGATAAAAATCAAAATCAAAAAGAAAAAGCAAAACACATAATACATCAAAATCAAAAAGCAAAAATAAACAAAAAATTTAAAAACAGATCCAATATTCCCAAATCCTTAACTGTCATTACCTTATTTCATCGACCTCCTCGCACCTCCCTTTTTTGTATTCTAGTTGTTAATTATCTCAGCAAATCCTTTCCATCTTTCATAATATTCTGTCATTAAATTACCTTAATCTATTTTAACCTTATCTTACCATAAAAAATCCTAAAACTTAAAACTTAAATCTTATTTATACCAATTTCTCATAACCATAACATATTCTTACATAATTCTTTTTAACATTTCTGCTAAAGCCAAATAATTTCGTTCCAACATTTTTCTAATACTCATTAATTTTACAAAACTTTCCTAAATAAATTTTTTAAGGCTTTCTTCCAATCTTCATCCAACGTCTCTTCCTCCTGGTCTCGGGTTTTGTCAGTCCTTTCTATCCCATCCATCTAGTTCATCAACCTGGTAACCTTATATCTGAGGCTCTTACGTCTCTTCCATGTCCCTTCCGCAGGTCTTCTTCATATTTATACCTGTACTTTACTTTGTCTTCTGCTCCTTTCCCTCGTGGAGACTCCAGCTTGACAATATTTTTGTCCCTTCTCGACAGATCAGCCCCTTTTCCATAGTCAACACTGAACTCCATGTGGTATTTAAAAGCATGTTTCAAGGTCCCTCCAAAGTTAAGGGCCCCCACAACTCCGAACTCCTCTCGGCCCAAAGCCAGACTTGAAAGGTCAAAACATCCCTGCATAGGGGGGGTCTATCCAGCCCCCCATCTCCAAGCCAAACAAGACTCTATCTCTCCAAATCTGGATTTTCCAGGTTCATTCGTCAAATCCAACAACTCATGTTCCTGCTGGGCCACAGTTCCCTCCATCTCTGCCTCCCGAGGTCCAGCAACAACCTCCTCCCTCATCTGATCTGTCAGAGCACACTCCTGGATTAATTCCTGAGTGGGTTCTATATAGGTACCCACTGCCTGTCCAAAATTTCCGATCGCAACAGTCATCAAATCCGTCTTCTCATGTAACTGTTCCAATAAAGCACTTGTCTTGCAGAAGGCAAGCACCAGAGCCTCTGAGTACATTCTTGTACAAGGTCAGAGTCTGGTCCCACGATCTTAATCTCTTGCAGCTGCAAAGCTCCCCAGTTCAGATTTAATAACAGTTTCGCAAGCTCCCTCTAGGGGAAAAAGCTTCTATTTGTATCCATCTCTTTTTCTTTTTTTTTAAAGCAATTCTAACAACAAAGTTTCCTTTTTCAGATATTTTGTCAATATTTTGTTCCTTTTAGATGCGCAGGGGAACAATGGAATCAATATGTTTCTCTTCTTTTAACTATCTGTCAAAAACGTTTGTCTATAGTCAATGAACTTCCAGAGGACGTCTGTCCTGACACCCCACTCCCAGGTTCAAGACGGTGGAAAATTGCTTTTCTTTACTCTCTCTTCTGCAGGTTTAAACAGTCCAGAAAAAGTTCCCCCCTCTTCTCCTACTTCCAAGGGGGGTTCAGTAATTTTAAATGATGAAAATTGATCCTTTACGGACGGCTTTCCGCAGCAGCAATTATTTCAGGCAAATTGTTTTTATGAAAGTTGTGTCTGTACCTGGGAGGAGGACAACCTCCATTTCCAAGATACTATTTGACTCATGGTTCCGCACTCTGAGCTATTTGTCCATTCACACATACAGTATACAACATTTTCTCAAGGTCATTGCCCGGACCCGCACCTTTTTAATGAAATACATTACAATTTAGAACAACACATATATTAATGCATTCATGGAATATACTATTCACTAGCTCCCTTTACACATTTTTTGTTCTGATGTTGTTCATTTTATATATTTTATAGTTAACATGACCTGAGTTTAGTGAGACATGAATGAACCATAGTATCTTCAAATTTACTTGAGAGTAAATGCACAAAACAACCCAAAGCATAGTTTCACTTGCCCATCTGCTTTGAGTGTGCTGTGAAGCATGACTGCTCCACCTGTAGCTAAATCTCATTTGGGATTCACCAGCCTCCACACTTGCCTGCAATGTGCCCACAGACTATTCTCTCTCCCATCTGACAAGCTTTATTTGCACTTTGGTTCACAATAAATATACTTAACCTTGCCCCCCTCTAGAATCCACACCTCACCGAATTCCTCCATGAGATAGTCTGAGGGCTATTAAACTCCTCCCCGCCCGGCCCCCGCCCCTTTAACATGGCTAGGAAGAGCTGGAGCACCTGGAACAGGCAGAAAGTGCTTCTCCTGCTGATGTGCCGGCTGCAAATGAGGGTGCAAATGCCGCTGGAGTGTTAGGAGGTGATGCTGTGGCAGCCATGTTTGTTCACCATACAGTATCTCAGAGAATCATCATGTCTTGATGCTCTCAGGGCCATTTGTGGCCTCACTTGAATTCAACGTGTGTCATAATGGTAGCAACTGCATAATTTTACAGTTTCTCCTTTTAAAGTGTTGATCCTTCAAAAACCTCCTGTGCTCTGAATCTAATGCTAGTCTAGGAATACACTGCCATATAACCAAAGGGCACAATTTGTCTAGACATTACATCCATAGCACTGAGTAATTTCTTTCTAGCTATTGATTATCTAATGATCCTTTTAACAAGGCACTCCTGTTATGTCTGATTGATGTGGGGAATACATTTCCTCCTTCCTTTTCAGAAGTTAAATGTCAATTTGGAGATGGAAGATCAAAACCATCAAACCAATTAAACTTCTGCTATATTGCTTCCTTGACATACACAACAAATCTATATTACTGCGTCTGTGATTTTATATAGCTAGGATGCAAAGGGTAATAAAATTAGCCAAGTAACAATGGCAATAAGGATCATTTAAATGGCTCTTTCAATACAAAGCACTTCATATTCATTACTACACTGCAATCCTTACAACAACTTTGTAAGGTAGGTTTGTATTACTCCCATATTGCAGATGAGGTGCTGAGACAGACTAAAATGGGTGTATCTTTGTATCTTAGTCTTTTAGCCTATGCTGCTAAAAGCAAAGCATCTGGTAATTCAACATGCTACAGCTATTTATAAATTCTATCCGCTTAGAACAAATGTAGACTTTCACAATGTAGCACAACACACAAGCAGTGAGAACATGCACAAGAACATAAGGAGAGCCTGCTGGATCATGCAATGGCCCGTCTAGTCCAGCATCCTGTTCCCACAGGGGTCAGCCAGGGAGCAGAACATGGGCCCAAGAGCAGCAGAACTCTCCCCTCGCGTGGTTTCCAGCATTTTGAAACAGTGCTGTCTCCAACTGTAGAGGCAGAGCATGGCCTTCAAGGCTAGGAGCCACTGACAGCCCTCTCCTCCCATGAATTGGTCAAATCCACTTCTCAAGCTATCCATGCCAGTGGTGACACATATCTTCCCAGCGCCCGGGGTGGGTGCGCCTGGGTGTGACGCGCAGTGTAAATTAATAATGCAGAGTTTTTCAGTGAAAGGATAAGAGCTTTACTGAGTTAAAATGTTGTTGTTGTTTAGTCGTTTAGTCGTGTCCGACTCTTCGTGACCCCCTGGACCAGAGCACACCAGGCACCTCTGTCCTCCACTGCCTCCCGCAGTTTGGTCAAACTCATCTTCATAGCTTCGAGAACACTGTCCCACCATCTCATCCTCTGTCATCCCCTTCTCCTTGTGCCCTCCATCTTTCCCAGCATCAGGGTCTTTTCCAGGGAGTCTTCTCTTCTCATGAGGTGGCCAAAGTCTTGGAGCCTCAGCTTCAGGATCTGTCCTTCCAGTGAGCACTCAGGGCTGATTTCCTTAAGAATGGAGAGGCTTGATCTTCTTGCAGTCCATGGGACTCTCAAGAGTCTCCTCCAGCACCATAATTCAAAAGCATCAATTCTTCGGTGACTGAGTTAAAATAAACTTCTTCATAAACAACATGGTTCCAAACAGTTTGACTGAGATTACATACTGACTCTGCTCACCACTGAGGCAGACAGACTCTGACTGAAATCTTACAGAGAACACAGAGAGAAAATGGCTGCCACTTATAAGGAGAATGAGTCCCATGTCAGAGTGACTCAGCAGTTAGCAGTTAGGCCTGAATAACTTTCGTAGGTCCAAATGACTGTGCAGTCCCAGCTTTGCTGCTTCTGCTCTCGTGTGTCTTTGTCCCATGCCAGGGCGCACTGGGGGGCAGGGCATGGAGGGTGACGTGAGGAGAACGCAGTAGGGCAGGCAGGCATCCTTCCAATCTGCCCAGTTGGCCTAAGAAGCAAACTGCGACCCTGGAAGAAACCGCCCCCAGAGCAATGGCCCCCCTCACACTGCCCCCACTATGCCTCTAAGTGACCATCACTGTCTCCTGGGGAAGCGAGTTCCATGGTTGGACTACGCACTGCATGAAGTAGTACTTTCTTTTATCAGTCCTGGCCTGCAAAACTATTGAGAATGTCGCCGTGATCAGACTGTATCTGGTTGGCACTGGGGACCCCCAGAATAGACCCAGCCAACAAGGTCCTTTACATTTGGGTAGGGGCAGCTCCACGCAGTATGTCTGCAATGGGAAATATATGCGTTAGACATTGCACACGTCCAAACCCAGATTGGCTTAGGTTTTTTTGTCTGAGATACCTTCAGGTCACTCCCAATCAGAGCTACTTTGGATGAAGAAGGCCACAAAACCATGCGCTGTTGAGTGCCCTGGAGCACCAAGCCATAAGGCACCTTCAACTGAGACCTCAGCTGAGACCTCAGTTGCAAGGGGCAGAGGGCTTGGTAAGTTACTTCTCCACAAGAAACCCCGCTAGCAACCTTTAAAGATGCTACTTCTCAGCCATTGAGAGGCTATGTTATGAGTGGCCTGTGATATCTTGATATAGTCAGAAACTGGATTGAAGATGTATAGATTATTGTGCCTTTGATGTATTATTTGAACATGGAGATTTGGACTTCTACTTTAAGACTTAAATGTTTCGAGAAATAGGAAGCTCTAGCAGCATTAGATAAGTGGCTGAAGCTTTAATAAACACTGATAACATTTGATATTTTAAGGACTTTAATATTGAAGCAACTGGATGAAAGATTTGATTTCCCATCCAGCTCCCTATACAGGAAATTAGTATGCAATCGAGTCTGATGAGGAACTGAAGGGATTAGAGATCCCAAAAATCTATTCTGTGCACTTTAAATGCTGTGGGATATTTATGAGATTATTTTAATTCTCTCTTGATTATTTATGATTATTTTGAGACTGAGCTATTATTTTAGGATACTGAGCTACATTCATACTTTAACAATTTGTAATTAGAGAACTGGAAAATGATCAAGAGGATCAACTAGTTGAAAGAAGAAAGGCTGTGAATATCTAAGGAAAAAATATCCTGCCATCAAAATATAGCAGAGAAAGGAGTTCCAAGATGCACCTTAAGAATGTCTTAACTGTGGAAAGACAGACCATTTTTGCTTAGTTAAAAAGAAAACTAAATCTGTAAGGAATAAGTTGACACAGGTACTTTAAGTATATATTGTCGAATTACTGTCAGTTAACCATTTTAAATTAATATAATTAATGCTTATAGTAATGGTTTGCTAAGAATGTTAACTGTCAGGCAGAGGGATAGTGAAAGCCAAGTGGAATTTTTAATACTGGGACACTGTGCTTGGACAAAGTGGTTAACAATTCCATGGGAGTTATGTGGGCACATGTGAATTCGAAGGGGATGAAAACCTCTCTGACGTTTGCTTAAATCTGGGTATGTGTGTGATCTTAACCACATAGCCATGTATCAATAAATACTTCTTTAAAACTCTGTTCCAAGTGGCCTCTTTAAAAAGGGACGGGTCTTTGTTTATGTTTTACTCAGAGCCTATGCACCATGTTACACAGTAAAATAACTGTGGACTCTCTCCTTAAGAATAGCCCAACCTAGGAGAAATCTTACTGCTGTCTGCATATATAGCCCCATTTAATACATCTGTTATGCCAGCATCTCTATGGAGCCTGAATGAAAAAAAATCAAGCTTCAACAGACAACATACAGATCACCTTCAGACTTGCTCCAAAGGGACCAAACTAGGTTTCATTTTACTCTGTAGCCACCATTTCTAACAGTGCATTCCTATTCATGTCTACTTTGAAGTAAGCTTCTATGTTAATGAAGATGCACTCACATGTATATCAGCAGCTCTTGCCACATTCAACTTCTACAGATTTCTGCCATAAACAACAGCAGGTGGTAGAGAGAGAGAGCTACTGTTTTTGTGGGAAACAAAAGAATAACTTCCCAGAAACTATTGACGCTGTTTTGAAAGTTCCAGTGAGAATGGCTCATTAAGAAAAATTAATATTTTGTGACACTGTATTTTGGAGGGAAGGGCCCTTCTCCAGTATTAACTGAAGCAATGAGACTTCTAATTTCCAGATCTCTTACGTTAGCAGGTTAGAAGAAACTGTCTATCAAAGAGCTGGTTTCCTGTGACACCAGGTCTGTTTTAATAGTCTGGAGCAGGGGTAGGCAACCTAAGGCCCATGGGCCACAAGCGGCCCACGGGGGTCGTTTAACCGGCCCATGAGCCACACCTGAACCGAGCCACCAGCTCGGCGAGTCCCTGCGCGTTGCGCTAAACTGGCACAGCGCGGCGTGGGGACTCGCTTCCGCGGTGCCAGAAATCACACCTGCGCAGACGCAGATGCTGGAAATCGTGGTCGTGCGCATGATCCAGCCCATGGAGGGATCTCCACTGGAGTGAACCAGCCCAGGCGAGGTAAACCTTGCCGACCCTTGGTCTGGAGGAAGTTTAGAAAAACTCGGAAGTCTGAAGCATTCAGTGCCTTATGCTAGGTCAGGCTACCTGTGGTGCAGGACTCTCGCCACCTCAGAAGTGTGCCCTCCAACATGTGCAGGGTGATGGTGGGGGCAGAGCACAGTATACTCACCCCTGCTCATGTATTGCTTTTATAGGTGAGCAGAACCAGGGCCGGCCCAAGACATTTTGGCACCTGAGATGAAGCACAATATGGTGCCCTTCCCTCCCTGCCAAGGGAGTAAAGATCTACATCAGGATCTGCTGCCCCTGTGTATCCTGCTGCCTGAGGGGGTCACCTCACTCTACCTCATTGGTGGGCCAGCCCTGAACAGAATGCCTAAAGAGCCCCATTCAGTCATTAAATTGGGCTGCTTCATTCAAAAAAGGCTAAATGCAATCTTTAAATATTTATTGCACAACATTTTGGGA